ACAATTTAACGTATTTCTTAAAATATTAGAATTTATTTTCGTGGATTTTGAATTAATCATACGTTACAAAATATCCAAGTAGTTTTATTTTTTAATTATCAATATGTAAAAACTTGTAAATATATTTCATAATCTACAGAACTTGGATAGTAAAGACAATCTTTTTGATTTACAGTTAGTGAGAAGGGTCCTCACATTTATTCCAAAGCATGTATTTACCTATCGGGTCATGCTTGTCATAACATAAATATTCATAGGGGACAAACAATGAAAAATATCCTTTTTGAATATAAGAACGGCGATTGCTCAAAGGTTGAAGCTAATATTTAACAAAAACAAATTTGATTTATCTTTAAAAATTCGTTAATCTTGTTTATTTTAGGGTGGGGTGAGAAAAATGTGTGTGTGCGCGCGCGCGTGCGAGAGAGATATAAAGTGAGGGTGAGAAAATAAGAATCTCGTTCCAGAAAGTTGTGTGGTTAAACTAAAACACACATATAAACACACTCAACACAACAAAACACACATCTACAGTGAGAGAAAGAGAGTGAGAGAGAAAGGGAGCTAAATAAAAAGAGAAAATGGAGAAAAAGAGGGAGAGGAGAATGAGAGAAAGTTTAATTTTTTTAATCTGATTTTTTTCTGTTGTTCAGTAGATATTAGATATCAATTTTTTTACTGCAGCTCTTGAGTATTTGTTCTCATACAAATTATTTCTAGTATTGAATTGACATAAAAGTATGTACGTATAATGTTTTAAAGTTGTAAAGCTGAAGGAGAAACTTCCCCTGGCTAAGTCAATTACACAATTATGTTTTCCCCTTCGGGGTGAAATTTATATGTTTTCCGCAACCGGGCATAATAAAATAAAATGCAGAGAGAATTAATTAAACACCACAGGGGCATTTTTAAAACAGGTCAAGATTTTTAATCAAAAATGAATTGTCCTTTAGCTTTAAAAATACAATTAAATAATGAAGTGTGACGTAAAATGAAGGCAAACCTTTTCAATTAATTCAATTAATCTATATATGAATGAAATGGTAGTTTCAGTTTTCATTTTTTGAATAATTCAAATGATTTTTTTTGTCGTTATCTTCAACTTATTTATGAAACGGATCGTACAATTTTAATTTGTAGTTTAATAACAATTTTTTATTGTTAAATAAAGTTTTGATTTTCAATGTGTCTTCGAGATCTGACGTGTTTAATCTCATTAACGTCCCATTCGTGCTCACGATGGTTATTGACATGTTTATTTCTGATATCAAGTGGAGTAGTCTGCTCTAATAAAAATTCTTGTAGCAAGAAGTTTATTAAATATTGTTCTCATCCATTTTAGGACAATTGTGACCAGTATTAATGTAGGTTATTTTTTATTTTATTTTTTATTTATTTAAATGAAATTAAAGCGGTAAGGTTATGTGTATTTTAATAGAATAATGTGCTCTTAAATGAACGTTGTAATTTCCTTTATCGCCTTTTCACTTGATCATAATGAAAACAACACCTTTCGAAAGAAATTATAGATTTGAATAATAGTTTTGATTGCCTGTATAGTTCGAATTTAGGCGTTTCGAAAGTTGGCGGGGTCCGAAAGGTCAAAGGAGGCAATGTCAAGAGGAAGGTGAAAGTGTATAATCAGTAATGGCTATAGGGCACCTAGGGGCTAGGATCTTTTTATTTTTCAAATCCGCTGAAACTTTTTTAAACAGTATTTAAAGGCAAAACAACACATCAAAGAGTGGAACTTGATGCTTAATATTGACGATATATTAAAACCCCTTGAATAAATTTCGTATATGGTGTCGTTTGGATGTGGTTAGCGTTTTTCTATAAGGTTAGGTAGGGTTAGGATATGAATGAATCAAGGTTTTTCCGTGGTGAGGAGAAAACATTAGGATGGGAAACGCGGAGTTTAAAACTCCGAAATCTCTCTCAACGTTGCTAAAGAATACTTTAACTTGTTTACATGTTTTTGGTTGTTTTCCCCCTTAGCAATATCCCTGCTATTTTGTCGTTTCCTGTCATCCTGGTCCGCCTATTCTCGCTAGTTTCAACTGTCAGATGCGTTAGTGGTTTGTGCTTATATCTTACCCTGCTTAAATCCCTGACCAACCACAAACCCAAAGCAGCTAGGACTGGCTGGATCCTTGATTACAAAAGGACCCATCTTTGTAATTTCATTTATCTAATTTTTTGAAAAAAAGTTCAGAAAAGAATTGTGGCCAAGGAGTGGAATACTGATCACACATCAAATTAAACTTTAAGTGGTCGATACCTTCTCTTCAATTACAGAATAGAATTTACAAATTTTCCATAAAGATAAACATTATATATTATCTACGATGAAAATAGTATGAAAATATAATTTTATGAGTATGAAACCACAACTGAGGATGGTTAGGGATACGAAATGCGTTTAAACAAACAAAACAAGGGAGGATATGCGGACCTTGATGTTCGAAAAGGACCAATCTACAAGTTCATGATCTCATAGACAAATAGTTTTATTAATATAAATAAAATATCCTTATGGCCCTTTATTACTTTCTTTGGAATTAAAACAATTACTACATGTTTCGAACAAAATAAATTAATCAGGTAAATTAAAAATGCAGTTGCTTAACCAAAACATAGAAGGAATTTTTATTAAGCTTTCACCGAACGTAGATTCTGCAGGAAAGAAAAGATAGTAATTAAAAATTTAGAATCCAAGTTTAATAACTGTTTACTGGTATACATTTACTTGTTATCTTTTTTCCAGTTGTTTTCCTTTATTAGTTAGTGTTTTTTTATGTGATTAAAGGAACTTATAAATACAAAATTAGATGTGGTTGTAAGTTCCTGATAACCCACGAAGAATACCAAGGTGGTTGTTTTTATTTTACTGCTGAATATTTTCTATTTGGTTTCTTGTAAAAACAACTGTATACATAAAATTTTATTGGGCTGGATCGTTAATGAAAACATGGCGGAAATGAAATTAAACTGAGAAATCAAACCGTTTAATTTTGAAACGCAACACGAAGGAGGATCCGATTTATTTGAGGTTCGATTTTCTTGTTAGGTTTCAGTTTGGCCTGATTTCTGTTGGATGGATTTACTCGTAGAAATGCCTTCGAGTGGCAGGTCCCGTTTTCACGACATAAAGAACCGGTTCATTAATATGGAGCTCCTTTCTATCAGAAGGGACGACATTTCAGAAAACAAACCGAATTAAAAAAAGTCTTCATTACAATTCATCAGTGCGATTTTATCGTCAGACCGCGAAGTTTTTAGATTACTTTGGCCGAGAGAGAGAGAGAGAAAAAAATCTGACCGCAAACTGATTTGGAATCCACGCCAGTTTTCCTAACGGTACTTCGTTGAATTGGATAGGAATAAGTGAATTGTGCCACAGATAATGGACATCCAACAAAATTGGCTAATGGTCCGACAATTAGCGAGACCTTGGTTTACCAGTTCGGTGGAGGCGATCGTTACGGTGTTTGCCCTTTGTTAACAATCGTGACGACTTATATTTGTCACTTTTTAATTATGTCGTTTACCCCAAGGTGCTTCCGCTCAATATTCGGTTGTATTTAACAAAATTCAAACGACTTGAAAACAAAAGTGTCACCCTAACAACTATCTGATTGTCCTCTGAAATTAAATTATTAAGACATTCTTGCAACCCTAAACAAGAGAAACAAAGACGGTTTGAAGTATTAACAGTAAAAACGGCTAACAAATATCGATTTTTATTTGAAAAAAAAGAAAAAAAAAAGAAAACCAGATTCTTCTGACCAATGTCTGAATCAACTGGCTGAACATCTCTCAGACAAACACATCATAGTGTGCAAAATAAGTTACATCGCATAATTTTTAGCATTGTACAAGACTGTAACATTTTTATCAATTTGTACTTTAGATAAAATCCTGTTTGTCTATTTAAGGCATTTGTATCTTTATCCAGTTTCTTCTGATTCATCGTTCGTTAAACTGGCTGAACAACTCTCAGTGCAGCAAGAATGACCAGTCAAAGCGTATAATATTAAATATTATACAATACTGTAAACTTTTATCAAACTATATTTCGAATAAATTCTTTCTTCATTGTCTGTTTAAGTACCTTTCAGTAAATTTTAAGATTCTATTCCATGGAGGGTTCCACTGAGTGGCCAACAAGACTTCGGAAAACGTTAAAATAATTGGATACTGCGTTTAATAGTAAATATTATACAAGTTCTAACATTTACTTTTATCAACTAATACTTTAAATAAAATCCTTCATCTTGATCATATAATCTTCCAGCCTCATATTTTATCTTCTATTTCATAAATTAAAAAGTTGATACCCATGATGAAAGAAAACGATGTAAAATATTATTCTAACTTCTTTCAATTAATTAATCTTTTTATGTAAGGTTTTGGTCGAAATGAAAAAGTAAGTGTCATAGTTTATTTCGACCAAAACCTTACATAAAAAGATTAATTAATTGAAAGAAATAATTTGGTCAATAAACCGCTAAATATAATGTATTATTATTATTATTATTATTAATTTTTAAGGGCGTTTTAACGGCTAAGGTCATTTCACGCCCTAACATCCAAACCTTCTATCTTAGGTTAGCTATATCTCTTCTGAGTGCTATATATTATTATTATTATTATTATTATTGATCCATGATGTTCATAAAACGATCGAGCCTGATCGTTCTATAACTCTCAGGTCAGGAAGGCTTGTGCAAGAATAATCAGTTTTCTAAAACAAATTGAAAAAAAAACATCTTCCAACAGATGGAAACTGAAGGTAAATCTAAAGAAAGGGTCAACGAACGCATTAAATCACACAAGGATAACGACATGCCATCTAATTACGTTGGACATCTCACATGGGACCACACATCTTATAAATGTCGAAATACTTTAAGCATTCTAATTGTTTTTATTAGTTGGATTAATATTATCACCAGTACAATTCATGCCATTTAATCAAAAGAATTTTCTGATTTCAGGGATATGTTATCCGCTTCGCGTCAATTTCCGGCTAAGCCATGGTTATCGTCACTCGGGTAAGTATTACTTGGATTACAAATAAAAAATAAAATAAAAGCTATAAGCACACTACGAGTTTTATGGAAATTAACGTTGTTGGAAAAAGGAAAAAGACCTTGGAATTTTTCTCTTGTTGTTGCCAACCGGCACAGATGATTGATTGTCCCTAATATGTCTATGGGTTCGTTAAACGGCGTCCTTTGTTTTTGATATACTGCCTCGTAAACAAGTCTAATGCTGCTGGTAAAAAAGTATATATGTTTGAAAAACCTGATTGACAATATTCACTCACTTATATATGATATCTGCGGTTGGAACAAAAAGTAGGTTAAGTAAGGAAGATATAGACAGAAGATAGAGTTATATAGACAGGGATAACAGTAAGAGAGAGAGGTAGGGATTTCCTAAGAGATTGCCAAGCTGGCTTTTGTCGAAATAGATCGATTACTGATCAGATTTTTTCCCTAGGGTTAATTCATAAGAAATATTACAGGAAGAACTAAGCCAGTTATTCAAACTCTTAGACAAACAATCATATGATAGTTTACATAGAGAAAGATTTTCTAGTCAACAGTTTGCCATTCCTGGTAAGCTCTTAAACTTGGCACATCTTAACCAACTTGAAAACCCTTTCTGTATGTAAACGATCATATTTGTTTGTCTGAGATTGTTGAGATTGATTGTTTGTCTAGGACTATGAATAACTGGTGTAGGTCTACCTTTAACATTTTATGAATTAACCCTAGAGAAAAAAAATTGATCAATTATCGATCTATTTCGACAAGAGCCAATTGGCAATTTCTTAGGAAATCCAGGTCTATCTATCTCTTGATTCTTACTGTCATCCCTATCCTTATAACCCTAGCTATCTGTCTTTTGTCAACCTTACTTAACCTACTTTTTGCTGCACCCACAGATATCATACATAAGTGAGAGATTATTGTCGATCATGTTTTTAAAATATATACACGTTTTGTTTTTACCAGTGTGGTGTAGGTATGCCTATAACATTCCCTATAGATAGTAAAACTTATAGTTCTTGATTGTTGATTATTTAGCACTTAAGGGCGTATCTTCGATCTAAATCTATCTCAAAAAATTCTTGACTATTTTTCCATCAGATTTACAATGATAGAACAAACATTAGTTGACTTTTGAATTGTCAATATTTATTCTATCAGTATAAATCTGACGAAAATATAGACAAGTCATTTTTTTCATAAGCGCTGAGAACATTAGTTTGAGAAGTTAAAGTTCGTTTTGGGTCTCGCATGATTATTCGATTCGCGTATAAACCAAGTAAGGTTTGAGTCCTCAAATAAAATTACATTTACATAATTATAACGGAGCCTCTATATGAAGGTAGAATGAATAATTACAAGTTCAGTAGTATGAAAGTCCTATTTTATCATAATATTTTTCAAAAATGTCCACTACGTGTCACTTGTTCGGCAATGGATTACGAAGAAATGTTTGTCTAGTACCCGTACTAGGTTCTAATTTCGACCGGATATTCTAAAAACCACAAGGTGTAGCCACAATTGTGGCAGATGATACATGACTGGTGTTCATTACCTATCCTGACGTACAGCTTTACAGTAATCCATTTTCATTAAAAATTAAGAGCGTTGTTTGCAGTATTGATCGTTCTATTGCAGAAAAGTTCTTTACCTGTTGCCATCAACTTCGTCCCTTTTTTTCGTCTAACATTGTCATAAAAGAAGGTGTTTTAAATAATAAATTATATAAACAAAATGACAGACTAAAATCCGAGGATAGGCAGAATATGAATCAGTGAAAAAATCTCTTCAACCAGCAGAACCCAAGAAGAAATCTCACGAATCTTACAAAATGACTATGAGCTTAACATTTTTTCATGCACCAGGACTTTTTTTTATAGAAACCTTGTAAAAACTGAATATAAAGTATCCAGGAAGTAAATTTAAACGACCTCATAAAAATAATTACTATCTCTAGCATCATCGTCATTAATTATAATGATTTTTTTTCTTCCCTTGTCTAGCATTTGATTACATCAAATATAAATAATCAAAATAGCTCGGAATTGACTAGGTGTTTCTGAAACCCGGTAATTTCCTATCACTTATTGCTATTCATGGTCGGATTTTCCCTGTTATTTTTAATTGTGGCTTTCATCGCACCTGCTGAGAGGTGCACAGAATTTCCGGTCTGCTGAGTCCTCCGTCGGAGAAGCCTCATAAGAGAACTTTCCTATGTCACGTCTTTTTTCATTTTGATTTTGCCACTAGATTCATATTTATATTGTGAGAACTCGAATATGAGCACACAATAAAAAAATAAAACTTTTCCTTTTTATTGCTTTGAAGTTGTCTTTTATTGCTGTCTTTGTCTTATTGTTAGTTATTTTTTTAATATTATAATATCTTCATAGAATCTTCTTATGTATGATCTTGATGGGAATATACAAGGAATTTCCTTTCAAATATCTATATATTGTTCTGAGTACAGAAACCTAAACAAGTAAACATGTCTGGCTTTCTCATAAATTTTTGTTTGTTTTTAATGATAATAATGGTCAATAATCATGCTTGTTAGTGGTGATTACGTCAATTATTTACCTTCAAATATCAGATCTGAATAATCACCATACAAATGACACCTATTTATACCGTTCTTTTTTAAGCCGTGAATTTAATTAGATGTTTATTAAGCAAATACGTTTGCTGTGATCGTGATGCTTTTTACAACAATGTTTGACCTAGTGAAAAATCGGAAGTTTTGGCCAACATGGGTGGGTTCCGATATGGGTATGCAGTTGGTGAGACTCAACGGAAGTCGATGCCGTCCGGAAAAGGCCCGAACCGGATCTACGGAAGGCGAACACGGCTGCTGGAGGTGGTTAAACCGGAACAATACTTTTCATAGTTGATGCTAGTTTTAATGCCTCTTCTATTCTTTATCCTTTTGTTCCTCGCTCGGTCTCATTGTGCGTTTATCGCTATTCGAATACTGGTAGTGAACGGTTGGGTGTGTCATGTATTTAAAAATAAATGTTTCTGATGATTGTTGTAGAAAATGACTGGTCACATGTTGCAATTTAACGTTGTTTTTTTTAAATATAGATGAATTAATTGTTTAATTACAGTCAAAAGAAATACGTTAGTTATCTAGCTATATCAGCTACAGGATGAAGAAAAAGAAGAAAAACTAGTATATTTGACATATTTACATATATACAGATTGCAACCTGACTCTTTTTTCATTTGTGTTAGAAGTGCGAAAGACACTGGGCTTTATGACCTACAACCTTAACAATGTAATCATTTTGTCTTGTTAGCCTGTTACTGCGTTTGCGGGGAAAAACTGATGATAAAATAACCCGCTGTCACTTTTGATTCATGGTAATGACTTTAAATTATGTGAACAATTTAAGATTACTTTGAGTGTGAATCAACTTTTTGACAGTTAACAAAGTTTAAATAACTTATATGTACATAGTTATAAATTAAGTATAAACATAATATATATATAATTTAAAAAGTAAAATAAATAAATAGAATGAATAAACAGTATAAGTAAATCGAATAAATAAATGGAATAAATAATTAATTAAATAATAAATAAATATGTAAATTCTTTCACAATTAAATAGTTGATTGCATACATATGCACATGAACCCACTCGTATCCATAGTCTAAGAATAAATAAATAAATAATTAAACAGGTAAGCACATGTAACGTGTGGATATGTGTATGTTCAAATGTACATATATCTGTACTACAAGAATAAATAAAGAGATAAATAAGTGTAACGCTTGTGGACACGTGTATATACAAATTATTTAGTGCAGGATTTTTTTCAATCGTTTGTGCTTCCAAGGAATCAGGGTGTCGTAGTTTCCAATCGATCTGCAGAGGACGTTCTTATTTGAGGCGTGTTTACAGTGCTTTAACCATGTGGTATGTCAGTTTCACTGTGGAGTTGATCTAACCTGGTCCGTCTGCGAGATGATGTGACTAGTCTTAGGAATTTGTTCTGCATCCTTTGTATTTTTAGCAGATTCGGCTTGCATGTAAAACTCCGTATATTACAAGCATAGAGCAGCATGGGTTTGAGAACCGCCTTGTAAATAAGTCACTTGTTGTGCCTTATTCATTAGCCAATAGTGGGAATAGAATTCTGATGGCTAATTTGACTTTTGCGATCCTATTCATTATATGAGGGCAACGCTTTTAAAAAGAACAAGTTCTTATTACGGCCAAAATAGATCAGATGGTGGGTTAGGGTTTTAAAAAGGGTGAGGCAAGAATCAATCTGCTCCTTTTTAAAAAAGATGGTTCCTACTCACATTACATGTTAATTTTTTTAAAAAAGGATTGAACTCCACACTCACCCCATCATTTATAATTTCTATCAATCTGCTCCTGTAAGATTAAAGACGATGTTTCTAGAATTGATCGTTCTAACGTAAAAATTTCTTTACCTTTTACCTCCAAACTTAGCCCTTTTGTTCTTTTTTGATATTCTGAAAGTTGTGGTGCAGTGTTGAATAAATGCTTAAGGGAATATTCTATTAGTAATATAAATTGTTAAGAAATGATGACTGACCAAACATCGAGGATAGGCATATCTACGGATTTATTACCCTCAGAACCTAAGAGGAAATCTCATGAATAACTTCTTATTATAGGCATAATAGCGTCAGTTGCTAAGTCAGAATTTTGAACAGGGAGAGACAAGAATCAAGACAACTGAACCTGTAGCAGACGGTGGGCAAGAGCGATGTCTTCTTACATCAAAGCTTTAACAACTCCAACATGTTCTATTGAGCTTTAGTGTATTGGGCTCGTGTTAATCATTTGCAAAATATCATAGGTTTATTTATTTACATACGCAACGCATGAACTGTTTTATGAACCAATCACACAGCTTTCGACTAATATAATTTTTCAAAAATATCTGTTTTGTGTCAGTTGATTATTAATGACCAAAACAGGCCAAGGAAACACTTGTATAATTATATTGGATGTCAATAAATATAATCATATTATATAATTATATTTATTGACATCCTGGGCCTCTGACAAATCTACTCGTAGTTTTCCAAGTGCCTTAGCCTGAATACCATCAGACGGTGGGATGCCAAATTGTAAGCAGGGTGAGGCGAGTGTGATACATTTCTGCGCGTGTATTTTACGTGGAAAAGCAATGCTTTTATGCAAATCTTTTGGATTTTGATGAACTTTTGTGTTTATAAACGACATCCTGTTTGGTTTGGGCAGTTGGCTTTTTGCAAAACTTACCAATATTAGTTAGTTTTTACCGTATTTTCTTTCCGTAAACCACAAGTACGTCAGATAATGAATACAAATTTATTATATTTTACCGAAGTCAAACAAAACAAGTCAGAGGAACTTATGTACTCATAGCCGTCAGATGGTGAAAAGAGAGATCCTGAGATATAGGCCGTTTCAACGAGAATGTGTGAGATAAAACAACTCGAAGTAAACCAGGATGTAGTGAGCTTTCAGTAAATATTACGTAATTTGAAAAGATAAGGCCCTTCAATTGCCAAGGTGGTTTTAGTAACAGTTAGGTAATTGTAACAATCGTTTCGCACTCACGGTTATTTTAAACATTTCAATAAAAGCACACCAGAAAGAAACAAAAAATGAATAGGTGCATTTAGAATGGCTTTAGGAGTAGTTAATAAGGCAGGTAATTTTTTTTTCTTTCTTTTCCAGTTGTGAATTTATTAAAAGTTACACGTTCCTTCTTCTGTGTCTTTAAATTCATCGAGTCATGATGACAGAAGACCAATGAATTCATGGTTTCATTAATTTACCGAGAAAAGGATATCCTATTTACAAACAATCCCATAAATAACAATTCTTGTAAATTACGTTTAGAATGGTCAACCATAATTATTTAACGTTTAACTAATATTTCATCGCCTTTATTAGACAATTTTCACATTTATTACTTTAATTATAACAATAATTTTCATAAATAACTACAAAAAGGCATTTGTTACATTTAGTAATTTATACGTTCATAACTTCTAAAAATGGCTTCTTAGAAATTAGAAGTCTTTTATTTTGAATGTTAAATTTCGTATTATCGCTAAGTCTTTTATTACATAGTTTTCATTTTTTTTTTAAATTTATTTTTTGATCAGCTATACATACTTTACATACAAAAACACATGAAATTAAAGAAAAAGAAGCAGGACAATGTAGATTTTAATAACTAAAGAAATAATTTGTTATTTTCAATTAAATTTTGTACCATTCTCTACCAATTTGAAGCGGGGAAAAATATATGTTAGACAATATTAAACTAATATTAAAAATTATATTTATCGGCAAATAATAAACTCTTATTTTACTGGAATAATAAATATGAATATATATATTTTTTTTTCATTCTAGGGAGACTACATATGGATTGAACCTATTTCAGGAAGAGAGTTTGATGTTGCAATTGGTGCCCGAGTAATATCTGCTGAAGGAAAACGCATTCTAATAAAAGACGATGATGGCAAGGTAAGAAAAATTAAATAATTTAATAATGATAAATAATACATATTTGAAATTTTGTATGACATTATTATTTATTAGGAGGTGTGGCTCACACCGGAGAGGAAGATTAAGGCAATGCATGCCACATCGGTTCAAGGAGTGGAGGACATGATATCCCTGGGAGACCTGCACGAGGCTGGAATACTGCGAAATCTCTTAATAAGATACAATGAAAATCTCATTTATGTGTGTTACAATTTTTATTTTATTGTTATTTGTTCAATGGACAATTTAAATACTGATTTTTTTTTAAAGACATACACTGGCTCAATATTAGTGGCTGTTAATCCTTACCAAATATTACCAATTTATACTGCTGAACAAATTAAGCTTTATAAGGATAAGAAAATAGGCGAACTTCCCCCTCATATCTTTGCCATTGGTGATAACTGTTACACTCACATGAAAAGATTTGGCCAAGATCAGTGTATAGTCATTAGGTAATAAAAAAAATCAACATACATAATATATGATATAAAACATTGTTACAATTTTGACGAAATCTTAGCGGGGAGAGTGGTGCAGGGAAAACGGAAAGCACTAAGTTAATATTACAATATTTGGCAGCGATCAGTGGAAAACATTCATGGATTGAGCAGCAGATATTAGAGGCAAATCCAATATTGGAAGGTACGCACTGTTTAATTTGCATAAATTGCACATCCAATAAATTTAAAACTCACTATAAAACATTCATTTTCAGCATTTGGAAATGCCAAAACAATTAGAAATGATAACTCCTCAAGATTTGGAAAGTACATAGACATACATTTCAATGCGTCAGGAGTTATTGAAGGTGCAAAAATCGAACAATATCTGTTAGAAAAATCTAGGATAGTATCACAATCACGGGATGAAAGGAATTATCACATTTTCTACTGTATGCTCGCTGGACTTGCAAAAGAAGACAAGAACAAATTAGAGTTAGGAGATGCATCACACTATAAGTACCTTATAGGAGTATGTAGATGATACATTTTATTTTCATTTTGATGAATTAATTTCATAATTACTAATAAAATTTACTTTTAGGGAGGAGGGATAACATGTGAAGGCAGAGACGATGCTGCTGAATTTGCGGATATTCGATCTGCAATGAAAGTATTATTGTTTTCAGACCAAGAAATATGGGAAATACTAACGTTATTAGCTGCTTTACTGCACACAGGAAACATTAATTACAAAGCAGCTATAATAGACAATTTAGATGCCACTGAAATTCCTGACCATTCGATCGTTTCCAGAGTAGCAGGTCTTCTTGGTGTTCCCAAACAACCTTTAATTGATGCTTTGACAAGAAAAACATTATTTGCTCATGGAGAGACAGTGGTAAGTTCAGCGTATTAGATAGATTCAATTTATTAAATTATTTTATATTCTAAATTTTTTTTCCATAGGTTTCGACACTTTCTAGAGATCAGTCAGTGGATGTGAGGGACGCATTTGTAAAAGGGATATATGGAAGACTTTTTGTGTACATAGTAAATAAAATAAATAACGCTATTTATAAACCAAAGTCAGCTGCCAGAAATTGTATAGGTGTTTTGGACATTTTTGGCTTTGAGAATTTCGACACCAATAGGTAAATGAGCAATAATATTGTTTAAATTGTTCCATCTTTCTTTCTAACAGTAAATAAAACTGATTTTAAATTTTTTTTGTAAAGTTTCGAACAATTTTGTATCAATTTTGCAAACGAGAACCTCCAGCAATTTTTTGTTCAGCACATATTTAAACTGGAACAAGAAGAATACAATTTAGAAAATATAAACTGGCAGCATTTAGAATTTGTGGACAACCAGGACGCTTTAGATTTGATCGCAATAAAACAATTAAATATTATGGCTCTAATTGACGAAGAATCAAAATTTCCAAAAGTGAGTGTCTTTTCCAAATGGTATTTTTACTCGCTAATTGTATTGCTAACTATTCTTAATTATATTCACAGGGCACGGACCAAACTATGCTTGCAAAGCTTCACAAAACTCACGGGTCTCATAGAAATTATTTAAAACCTAAATCAGATATAAATACTTCATTTGGGTTAAATCATTTTGCTGGGATTGTATTCTATGACACAAGAGGTAAATCATCTAGTAATTATTCTTATATCATTCAATTTGATGAAACAATTAAAACGGTTTGTTGTAGGATTTTTGGAAAAAAACAGGGATACGTTCAACGCAGACCTTTTGCAACTCATACACATATCCAACAACAAATTTTTAAGATTGCTATTTGCAGAAGACATTGGAATGGGTGCAGAAACGAGAAAAAGGGCGCCAACTCTTTCTACTCAATTTAAAAAATCTCTTGACTGTCTTATGAAAACATTAAGCAACTGTCAACCTTTTTTCATAAGATGTATAAAGCCAAATGAGATAAAAAAGCCGATGGTATTTTATTTATAGATATATTTAAAGAATAGAGCTATAATTCATTATTGTTTATAGATGTTTGATCGAGGCTTATGCGTTAGACAACTGAGATATTCAGGTATGATGGAAACAATTAGAATCAGGCGAGCAGGCTATCCCATTAGACACTCTTTTAAAGATTTTGTCGAGAGATATCGTTTTCTCATACCAGGGGTTCCTCCAGCTCATAAGGTCCACATTACATGCAATAAAACATAAAAAAATGTACTAATTACACCTTTGATTTAGACTGAGTGCCGTTCGGCTACAGGAAGGATCTGCCAAGCTGTATTAGGAAAATCTGACTATCAACTCGGGAGCACAAAAGTCTTTTTAAAAGATGCACATGATTTGTATTTAGAACAAGAACGAGATAGAGTTCTAACAAGAAATATTGTGGTACTGCAAAAATCAATCAGAGGATGGGTTTATAGAAGAAGGTAATTAATTAAACTTAACTAGTCCAAAGGAAATATGAAATGAATAATATTTTATTTTTTCTTGTTTTAGGTATCAAAGAATGAAAGCTGCAGCAATGGTTATTCAGAAGTACTGGCAGGGCTGGGCTCAACGTAGACGATATCTCCGGATGCGTGTTGGCTACATGAGACTTCAAGCATTGATAAGATCGAGGGTTCTGTCCCACAGATTCCGTCACCTCAGAGGGCATATTGTCGCTTTGCAAGCAAGAGCCAGGGGTAAATTAGTGAGGGAAATGTTTGCCAAAAAAATGTGGGCAATTGTCAAAATTCAGTCTCACGTACGAAGGATAATAGCCCAAAGAAGATATGCAAAAATCAAAGTTTGTTACTGTCTATTTTACTACAGATTAATTATTTAGTTTTTACAGATTTTAATATTTCTTTCTTTTCTCAGCTTGAGTATCGTCAGCACTTTGAGGCGCTTAAGATGAAAAAAATTGAAGAGAAAGAACTCAAAGATGCAGGAAACAAAAGAGCAAAGGAAATTGCCGAGCGACATTACAGGGTAATTTAGTATATTTGCATTATTATTTAAATTATTGATTTATTTTTTTAGGACTATTGTCTTAAAATATTATTTATTTATCTATAGGCCTAAACCTTTTAATAAACCTTGGTGTGTTATTGTTTGTAGGACCGAATGGAAGAATTGGAGAGGCGTGAACATGAACAGGAAATTGAGGAAAGGAGGAGAATGGAAATAAAAAAGAACATTATAATAGATGCTGCCAAAAAACAGGATGAGCCTGTAGATGATAGTAAACTTGTTGAAGCTATGTTTGACTTTTTGCCAGATTCCAGCAGTGAAGCTCCCCTTCCAGCTAGAGAGACTTCTGTCTTTAAAGTATGCAATAATGATTTAATTTTTTATTACAAACTCTATTTGTTTTTTGTTTTCTAAGGATTTACCTACAGCAAAAGCTGATCAACAAGAAGTCATCAATCAGATCCAAATGGCAACCGAAGATGAAGAAGACCTGTCAGAATTTAAGTTTCAAAAGTTTGCAGCAACGTATTTCCAAGGGAATGTTACTCATCAATACTCTAGAAAGCCGTTGAAACATCCGTTACTCCCACTTCACACACAAGGAGACCAATTGGTAATATGGTTTATTTTTAATTTACTTAGTTTATTTAATAAATTATACTAATATAATTTTATCAAGGCTGCACAAGCACTTTGGATAACAATTTTAAGATTTACTGGAGATCTGCCAGAACCGAGATACCACACAATGGATAGGGACAATGTATCTGTAATGTCAAAAGTGACAGCAACACTTGGTAGAAACTTCATACGCAGTAAGGAGTTTCAAGAAGCTCAACTCATGGGAATGGACCCGGTACTGTCAATACTGTTAAAATATAATGAAAGAAAATATAATTGTGTATGTAATTTCAGGATACAATTCTGAAACAGAAACCTCGCTCAATAAGGCACAAATTGGTGTCACTGACTTTGAAGAGAAAAAACAAACTTGGAGAAGATGTACGCAGAAGACTGCAAGATGAAGAATACACAGCAGACAGTTATCAGTCTTGGCTTGAAGCAAGGCCGACTTCAAATCTAGAAAAACTTCATTTCATCATTGGACACGGAATTCTGAGAGCAGAACTAAGGTGACTTTAACTGTGGTTAAATATTATAATAATATTTTTTAATGAAATTTATATAAATTTCAGGGATGAAATTTACTGTCAAATATGTAAACAGTTGACAAACAATCCTTCAAAATCATCACACGCTCGCGGTTGGATTCTGCTCTCGCTTTGTGTTGGTTGTTTTGCACCTTCTGAAAAATTTGTAAGCTATCTAAGAGCATTTATAAGAGAAGGACCACCTGGTTACGCTCCGTATTGTGAAGACAGGTTGAAGAGAACATTCAACAACGGCACTCGCAATCAACCTCCAAGTTGGCTTGAACTTCAGGTAAGTAAAGAATATAATTAAATTTTTAAAGTACTATTATTTCCTTTTAATTTCAGGCTACAAAGTCAAAGAAACCGATAATGTTGCCTATCACATTTATGGATGGAAACACTAAAACACTTTTAGCAGATTCGGCAACAACAGCCCGAGAACTGTGCAATCAACTATCTGACAAAATAGCTCTAAAGGATCAGTTTGGATTTTCTTTATACATAGCTCTCTTTGATAAAGTTTCATCTCTTGGAAGTGGAGGGGACCATGTCATGGATGCGATATCACAATGTGAACAATATGCAAAAGAACAAGGCGCTCAGGAAAGGAACGCACCCTGGAGATTATTCTTCAGAAAGGAAATATTTGCTCCTTGGCACGATCCAACTGAAGATCAGGTTGCGACAAATCTCATTTATCAACAAGTTGTCAGAGGTGTAAAATTTGGCGAATATAGGTGTGACAAGGTAAATTTTAATTTTTAAAAATGTAAATTGTTATGAACACTACTATATAATGAATTTTTATCTTCTTTGTACAGGAAGAAGATCTGGCTATGATTGCAGCTCAACAATACTACATTGAATATTCGTCAGACATGAACATGGAACGGCTATTGGGGTTACTGCCAAGCTATATTCCAGATTATTGCCTAACAAATGGCGATAAATCTATCGATCGTTGGGCTAGTTTGATATTGCAAGCTTTTAAAAAGGTATTTTTTTAATTAAACACTTTTGAATATTTGATTTAAAAATATTTTAATTGTTACAAGCAAAATTTAGCTTGATCATCTCCATTTATGATCTGTCTATTATTGCTAGTTTTGTGCAGTTGCATTTCGGCATTTTGCACTTTTAAGTGGTGCGAGGGTTATTTTGTCAATTATGTCCTTTTATAAGTTTGTTCATTATAAATGAATAGTTTTTATAACACATTAATATAAGAAAACTTATAACATGGCACATATAAATCAAATATTAATTAATTCACATAAATCATTCACTTGCTCACTTTTTACAAATATATAAAAAAAAAAAAAAAAGTATAAACAAGAATTCTTCATCATTTAGTTTATATAAAAAATATTTAGTTTTGATTATATGTATAATTCTAGGTAGGGAGAGATATATAGACAAACTATAAAACGTAACTTTAATTCCAATTTAAATTGTATAAATTACCGGCATTAAAATGTTTGCTGTAAAATATATACTTACTGACTCCTTGATGAATAAAGTATTACTTTCTGTCAAAAAAATAAAATAATAATAATAAATAAATAAAATAAAAAATAATGCAATGGCCAACGAGAATGCTGCCTTTGGCAGGCCTGTAATAGAATAAAAATTTAAAAAATAAGTTCATTTGATAAATATATTAATCTGATTTGCTTATTCTTGCTGAGTTTAAGAAAAAAAAAAAAAAAAAAAATAAAAAAAAAAAAAAAGGGTAAGTACACCTGTTCTTATTGTGTTTGGGATGTTCAAACCTTGGGCATGTTCAACAACTTGCGTTATACAATATTATAATATTTTTACTGATAAACCTTTTTTTTCCAGAGCTATTATGTCAAAGATCTGGTTTTAACTTTAAGAGTTAAAGAAGATATTGTAAGCTATGCTAAGTTTAAATGGCCATTGCTTTTTTCAAGATTTTATGAAGCTTACAGAAATTCAGGTAATTTATCTTTTAATGTTAATTACTAAATTAAGTTGTTAGAGTCCAAAACTTTTTTTTAATATGTTAATTCAAATATCAGAATGGAGAATAAAGTTAATAAATAGAAATACACTTAAATATGTTGAAGTACATTGGAAACAAAAACAATTATAATTATTATGTAATGAAAATAATAACATTTACATTCTTGTTACTTGCAGAAATGTATATTGTACCTGTGTTTTAAATGTTACATATTTCAGACATCATTTGCACTCTCTAAAACTTTAATTTTATAACACCGGTAATATTCTGTAAATTGATGTCTGTTTACCAGAATAGAATTGTTTTGAGAAAAAAGTGATTTCTTTGCTAACAATTTGTTTACCAAAACAATGCCAATGCCAAATATACAAACGGCTTTATAAATATTTCCTCTTTCAGGTCCAAACTTACCCAAGAACGATGTTATAATAGCAGTCAACTGGACTGGTGTATATGTTGTTGATGACCAAGAGCAAGTGCTGTTAGAACTCTCTTTCCCAGAAATCACCACAGTCTCTAGTCAAAAGTTAGTTTCTCTTAGTTTAAATTTCTAAATGCTAAATATGCATTTTCATAATAAAATCTTTTCTAGGACGAATAAGGTTTTCACTCAGACTTTTACTCTATCAACTGTGAGAGGAGAAGAATTCACGTTCCAGAGTCCGAACGCAGAAGACATAAGGGATCTTGTTGTTTACTTTTTGGAAGGGCTGAAAAAGAGGTCGAGTTACGTTATAGCTCTCCAAGATTATAAATCTCCTGGTATATACATTTTTCAAAATTGACAACAGTATTAATTCTTTATTAATAACAATAGATCGATTTTCAGGTGAAGGCTCTTCTTTCTTGACATTCCAAAAAGGTGACCTTATCACGTTGGAGGATGATGCGACTGGAGAAACTGTTATGAATTCAGGTTGGTGCGTGGGCAGATGCGAAAGATCGGGTTTGAAAGGAGATTTTCCAGCTGAAGCAGTTTATGTTCTTCCTGCCTTGAGCCAACCCCCTACGGATATATTGGTAAGTTAATTTTATCTAAATTTATATTTAAAATTGATAATTGATCAGAGGAAAATAAACTAATACTTGGTTACAGGCTTTGTTTAATTTAGAAGGAGCAGAGCATGGTAGAAAAACCAACTCTCAAAGCATAAACGGTACTGAGCAAAGGGAAAAACCACACACTTTGATGGAATACGCTATTGATCATTTCAGGTATTGACCTGTACTTTGATATCTTCTTCTTTTTATTGCACTTTTTTAAAATGAATTACATATTTTAAAAACTTTGCTGAAGTATTATTTTATTTGCATGTCAGTAATGAAAGAGAATAAAAAATTTTATGTAATTTTAGTTAATTTTATTTTGGTTCTAATTTTTAATTTTGATAAATGATATTTTTCAGACCACCACCAAAGAGAACAATGTCAAAAACACTAACTCTCTCAGCAGCAAGAAGAGGAGGGCCTGAAGAACTTTGGCGCCATTCCAGGGAACCACTGAAACAACCATTGCTTAGAAAACTTGTTGGAAAGGAAGAACTGGCAGAAGAGGCTTGCTATGCATTTACTGCTATATTAAAATACTGTGGAGATTTACCTGCTAAAAGAAGACTAGGGAATGAATACACTGATCATATTTTTGATGGCCCTTTGAAACATGTATGTGTTAATTACACATTTTAAAAGAATTCGTAATAAATGCTTTAAAAGATATATTAAAGAACCTTGTATTGTAGGAAATTTTACGAGATGAAATCTACTGTCAGTTAATGAGACAGCTTACTGATAATAGAAATAGGCTGAGTGAGGAAAGAGGATGGGAGCTGATGTGGCTGGCAACAGGGCTTTTTGCATGCAGTCAAGCGCTTTTTAAGGAGCTGAACACATTCTTAAGAACAAGGAGACACCCAATAGCCCAAGACTCATTGCAAAGGCTTCAAAAAACATTGAAAAATGGCCAAAGGAAATATCCACCACATCAAGTTGAAGTCGAAGCGATTCAACACAAAACCACACAGATATTCCATAAGGTCTATTTCCCAGATGATACGGATGAGGCTTTTGAGGTCGATTCATCAACAAGGGCGAAAGATTTTTGTGCCAACATCGCTCAGAGATTAAACCTTCGGTCTTGTGAAGGTTTTAGCCTTTTTGTTAAAATTGCAGATAAAGTTATTTCTGTACCTGAGGCAGATTTTTTCTTTGATTTCGTCCGTCACCTTACAGACTGGATCAAAAAAGCGAGGCCTTCAAGGGATGGTAAGATTTTGAAATAATTTCTTCATTGTTTTGTTTCAATTACTAAATGATTTAATAATCCAGGTGCTACTCCGCAATTTACATATCAAGTATTTTTTATGAAGAAATTATGGACGAATACAGTACCTGGAAAGGACAGAAATGCTGATTTAATATTTCATTTCCACCAGGAGCTTCCGAAACTTCTTAGAGGTATGAACTAAAATTTTCTGTGATATTTCAATTACATAACTACAAATAAAAATTTTCAGGGTATCATAAGTGTACTAAAGAAGAAGCAGCAAAATTAGCAGCATTGGTGTACAGAGTACGATTTGGTGAAAACAAACAGGAACTGCAGACCATTCCGTAAGTATTTTCATGAAATATTATGTTGAAATCTGCAAGGAAATTTCACCATCCACATCTGCTTATCCTTGTTGGTTTTACCTATTAGATGCATTTCAGCATTTCATAATTTTTACTGGTTGGTTTGCGCGTTCTTTTGTAAGTGTTATTACCAACCATGAATGTTAGCAAAATGTTAAAATGAGCCTAACAGACAAACCTGCAAAAATTGGCTACCAGGATGATCAAAGTTGTATTTTTATCAAATTTCTATTCTTTTATTTGTATTGTAGGCTGATGAACATTTACTGCAACATGGAATTTTATTTGCATTTGACTTATTACACATTGTTGGGAAGTCCACTTGGATAGACGAATGTAATCAACACTGAAGAGGACACTTGTCTGAGGTCGGAAATGTTATGTTAATAAATAAAATTCCATGCTGCAGTATGTTCAACGACCTACAATACAAATATTAAAATGATAAAATAAACAGCAAAAAATTATTATTTATAAAAAATTCTATTCTGTTCCTACCTATCAGATCTAACATATTTAATTTTTGACAATTATATTTGAAATATTAGTTTTATGAGTGTTAAATTCAAAATGGTTACTATTAATTTTCCCTGTAATTAGGCAAAGGATTAGGGATTTAATCCCAGGGGATCTTATTAAGTTACAATCCACGGCTGATTGGAAGAGATTGATTATTGCATCATACAATCAAGATGCTGGTTAGTATACAATGTAATATGTACCATAAATAATTAAATTTAACTGTGTCATATTATGCCATACAGGAATGAACCCAGAAGACGCAAAAATAACATTCTTGAAAATAATCTATCGGTGGCCAACATTCGGTTCAGCGTTTTTTGAAGTTAAGCAAACAACAGAGCCCAATTATCCAGAATTGTTACTTATTGCTATAAATAAGCACGGAGTGAGTCTGATACACCCACAATCAAAGGTATGCTATTTTATTTTGAAAAGGTCACTTTTAATGTAAATATTTACTTTTGGCTATAATATTTACTTTTAGGACATCCTCGTTACCCATCCTTTTACAAGAATATCAAACTGGTCATCTGGCAACACATACTTCCATATGACAATTGGAAATCTTGTGAGAGGATCCAAACTCTTGTGTGAAACCTCGTTAGGATACAAAATGGATGATCTGTTAACTTCGTATATTTCTCTAATGCTGAGCAATATGAATAAACAACGTAGTCTTAGAGTCAAATAAAAGTTATATACTGGAAATAATTCATTGCTCAGTAAGAATATTAGATAGCATTTTGTTTTTCAACTTAATTTTTTTTTTCTTTAAGCAAATTAACAATTTTTATACAATACTATCTACTTACTTATTAAAAAGGTTGATTTAAATCGCCATACAGTATTGTATTATTGATGGGTCAAATTATTATAAAACGGTGAAAATATATATAGCTGACTGATATAATTGTATTATAAATGCAAATACTGATTAGGATTAAGATGAAATATCGACATTGTAAATGTATAATTTATATAATTATTATTTCAATAATTTATGAACCTGTCCACAACAATCACAAGCCGTAATATTGTTTCAAAGTTACATTAATAATCAAATAATCAGTTTTCTAAAAATGTGTAAATAACTTTTAATTACTGTATAGTAATTGTACGTGAATGATAAAATTGTTATTTTTTTTAATATTTAATGTTTTTTTTATCAATATTGTAAAATTTACAAAAATATATATACATTGTTTTCAATTAGAATGTTTATGTTAATTTTTTGGTGCAATCATGATAGGTAATAATAACAAACTTTAATAATATAATGTTTTATTTTTATTATGTATTATTATTATAGATTTCAATTTACCAAGACACTCAACTTACAGTTACACTAGCTCTTCAGATTATGTACAAGCAGTAAAATAAAAAGTAGTGAGATTTCTCTGTCCCAGTCAGATGCTGAATCTGAAACTTTGTAATTATCAATAATTTTAGTTTGCCTATCCAGTAGTTATAGTATGAAAAATGTATTATAAAACAGTTTCACTCCTCGTCTATGACACCCAATAGTTGGGCATTAAGCCCTCCTATATGACAGGAATTATGTCCTTTCCTCTTTATTCCCCTTTTTTTTTATGTTTGGTAATTTTTCTCAAGCAAGAAGCGTTTGGACAAAAATGCATACAGATACGAAACACCACACATTTCTACAGATACGAATGTTCAACCAGGCCAAGTATGTGCTGACAAAAGGTGACCAATCCTTCAGATTTATCAACCTGCAGAGAAAAATCTCACAACTTTGCATTTATTTATCTTGCTACTTTTACTTAATCTGAAGAGAAAACAGAGCAATTCTGCATTGTGCAGACAAAAATGATAAGTACCTAAAAAATCAAAAAACCAGAATTTTTTTATTTGATCAAAACAATTACAGCCATACAACAATATTAAAAATATCGATATGCACAATAGATAATTATAAACATAATATCTATCTACAATAATAATTATCACATAAATATATAGTAAATCACACACAATAATTCAGTTTTAATAATTTATTAAGAAACAATTATTTACCCCTACTTACACTATTTTATTACATTTATTATTTATTTTATTTAAAAATTTAAATATTTCCTGGTGAGTTTTGTTTGAATATCATCAGATCCTTTTATGTGGGAGGCAAAGTTACTGACTGTCCAATGAGGTAAGTGCCCAGTGGAAGTCCCATCTTTGTGGCTTTCATTGAGATGTTGCTTTTTTTTGTTTCGTTAATTCTATGCAAGTAACCCTTGCATATTCCTTGTCCATTCTTAGGCAGACTATTATACAGCTGTCAAGCATCCAGAAATTTAATCATCTTGAAACCACGGGGCACATCCTCCAGTGGAAACATATTTTTATAATATAGCTCTTTTTCATTGTTGCTGTAGATACATTTGTTGGGTTAATGTAAACCTCATATCCAAATACCAGAGCTGTTCCAGAAATTGTAGCTCTTTCAGCCAATTGGTCAACAGCTTTCTTTTCTTGGTATTCCGGAGCTTTTACACTCCACTCAGACAATCCGTGGATGTTACTACACATGTTAAGTTGAGACTTTTTGCACAGCTTGTTCCCCTTGTTTGAAAATATTGCCAATCGGTCAGGGAGTGCATATTTAAAAATGTATTTTCTCAGAAAAATTCTTTGTGTCAGGTCCAAAATCAGGCCTTTTTATAAGTAATGGTGTCTGGCAGACAAATTTAGTAATTAATTGGCAGAGCAGGGTGATCAAAGGTGATAAAATTATGATAACGTAATTTCTCAAATATTACTTTTCAAGTAATGTAAATATTGATTGATTTTTGTTTTAACCTAATTATAAGAAAACACCTGTCACTGCAGTACCACTTACAGTTCTCTTAATTACATTTTGGCAAATTCAGCGTGAAAGTGTCATTAAAATCTGACCCCAGTTTAAAATAAATTTACACCTGCTTAGATTTGTAACACATTCTACCATATTCACCTTTGTATAATTTTATAACAATATCTGATTTATTAAATTATATTGTAGTATGTCATCATCGTGACAACATACTTTCTATTGGACACCTATATGAAACTATGTGTCCTTTTACTTTTTATAAATGAAAAATTTCTTTTTGGTAGGCTTTTTTAAAATAAAAATCATGATTTTGCGACATTTCGGTGATTCTGTGCTATTTTAAAAACTAATAATAAAGTAAAATAAAATAAGGCCTATCAAAAAGACATTTTTCTTAATGTTTTAAAAGTAGACCTTCATTAAAAAAATTAAATTCTTTTTAAGTCGTCATGAGTAGTCTGGCCGCTTTCCTAATACACTGTGTATTCACTGAGTCCACTTTTTATAGAAAGTGTAAATAATTCAATTCTATAATTTATAAGATGGTTACTGCTAATCAGTCTACTTTCACTTTTAACTTAAGGCACAACTTGTGCTTATTTCAGCTTAAGATACAAAAATAATTTATATTTCTTTTCAAAAATATATAATTTCAAAACAATAAATTAGGTTATTTTTGTAATTAGTAGTGTTCATCTATGATCAGCCTGGTCTGTTTAAAATCTTTTGTCATAGACTAGATAAATAGACACAATTGATAAAAATAACACAGATCAACTGCTGACAAGCAGAAATCAGAATGTAATAAGTAGGATATAGGTTCCTTACTCTCAAATCTCAATAAAAGTTTTTTGTAATGCTGGTGAAAAATAACGAACAAATTGTTTTTCTACAATTACCCTTTATATTGTGAAAATAATATCTTTTGTGTGAATGAATCCTAAAACTATTACAAATTAAATTCAACAATATAAAAACTCTATTTGCCATAGTAAAGTAATCCTTGTCATAAAGTAGGGCTTAACGTCCAACTACTTGTTGGCGATGAGGGATTTATAATCAATTTTTTATATCATTACCAATTAAAAAGTTATAGACTCAGCCGGGATTTGAACCTAGAATCACTAATCCAGTGAATCTACATACTTACTCCACCATCATTTCTAGAATCACTATCATGGCAAATATGAGTTATGTCTTAACCATTTGGCCACCGTGGTCCCCTTATATCTGTGAAAACATTGAAACAAATACCATCAGGAAATATCAACCTTTTTTCTTACAACAGCAGAGGTCATATCAACCCCTGGGGTATCATTGTTTTGAAAAAAAGCCCATTTGTAAGAACATCAGGTTTGAATGCAGGGCCGCTTGATCTTTACCTCAGTGATGAGCACCATGTCAACACCTTAACCATTGCAGCTACCTACAGTTATGTTGAAATGTGGTTGTTACCACTCATTTTGCCTTGCTGGTCTGTCGGACGCATTTCAGTATGCCTAAAAAACATACGCAGACCAAAATGATCATGACAAAGAAATTTTATATTCATCACCTCCTAGACAACATGGAGAAATCTTACTGTTTTCTGTTATAAGTTGTGAGGAACTTTAATTCTGATTTCATTTTCTAAACTTAAGATTGCTTCAAATAAAATATATTTCAACAATTGTTTTACTGAAGATCCGTAAAGGAGTCCAATTTTAGTGATAAAGTATATTTTTTCTTTCAATCCATAGTCATTTACATTTAATAGAACAATACAAAAGAGACTATAAGGTTTCGATTTCCTGTTTGAGGTCATGGGAATAAGAAACGAGCTATGTCCACAAATAATTTCAGGTTTAAAACGATGAAGAGGGAACTTTTAAGAACGAACTAACATTGTACACTCCATATTAAAAAACAAGGTCCATTTTATGATAAAATTGTTTATTGCAGTATGATAAAATTCTAATTTGGTATATGAATTGAAGGATATGGAAGGAATATAATTGCTTTCTCGAATAGAAATAATTCTATGAAACTTTGTCACTTTACAAACGATTTAAAATTTAAAAAATACAAGATACAAATTACACAATTATTTCAGGTGATAAATAAGAATCAGTACAAAATTATCTCCAACTGTTTTATATATGTACAACTTCCACTGCATTTAGGTACACTATACAATTTTTAAAAACTAATATTTACAATTCAATGATATAAAATAAAATAAAACTTTCTATACCTTTCTTTATACACAAGATTTCTTTTTTTTAATTTATAAATATAATTATCACACTTTATACTTTTTTATTTATAAATAATACAATCTAGTTTCTAAAACGTAAATGTTAAAAAATAAACAAATTATATTTCATCGATACTAATTGCGATTATTTATATAAGAAAATATTGCTTACTACACATCAGAAATTCTTGTTTTAAATAATTTCCTATCAGTATAAAATATTGTCTTATTACACATTAAAATTATAATTTGTTAAAGAAAAAAGTAGCTTTGGTAAGGGTTTCTTATAAGTTATATAAAATAAATTGACAAATAATAATACCTACTACAAAAAAAAATCACAAACAATTGCAAAAATCTTGCCTTTGTAATAATAATAATATTTTTTTTAAAATAAAGTTGAGCAATAGATTTAAAAAAATAACCAAGATGCACGTACTAGAAAAAAAAAAAAAAAAAAAAGAAAGAAAGTTGGTATTATAAGTTATAACTAAATCTAAATAAAAATAAATATAATTATCAAAACCTGTAATTCAGAATCGTAAACCACACTAGTAATTTCACATCCTAGTTCGTTAAAATGTTGCATACATTACATTACTAAAAATGTACTGTCATTATATACAGAAGTTCGTTGTTGTATTTACAAATTTGGTCAGCTCTTAATGATTACAAACTGTGATGTTGAAAGACCTCAATTCATTTCCAAAGTTCAGCTTTTTACTGATTTTTAAGATGACATCTATAAGTATAAGTAAGTTAAATGAATATGTTGGTTTGCATAAACGAAAAAAAAAAAAAGTATAACAGTCTACTTTAGTATTTAAACTATAGTTTGCATGAAGGCATGGGAATGAATATTTATATGTAATAATTTACATCAAACGTTAATTATTCATTTTTTACTATTAAGAACCAATATTTGACCTTGAATATTTATTCAAAACGATGTTTTAACTAAATTAATTTTTGAATTATACAAACATAAATATGTAATAACTATAAAAATATCTCTCAGCGTGTTTTTTTTTTTTTTTGCATTTTCAATTTTCATTACATATCTCAAGCAATAATTATGGTAACTACTAGTAACCCCGAATGGACAGGATAATAATAGCTTTTATTAAAAGATTATACTAATATTTAAAAAAAACTACTTATTCGGTTTTTACATCCTATTGCCCATTTTATAAACTTCTCTAGAAAACAATTTCTTTCAAAACAACTTTAATTTAGCTGAACAATGAAAATCATGAGAATCTTTATTGAAACAAAAAACAATACAATCTCTGATTCTACATCATTTTCTATCCACCATTTTTCATGGTAATCTCGCTAAGAAGAAATATATCCTAAAAAAACATGAGATGCATTTTATATTTTCTAATTTTAATAACTCTTAAATAATTCGATATTTAAAAATTGTGATTTCCAAAATGTATGAAAATAAATAGGATTGAAAAATACCCTTACAAAAACCAATGAAATATAAAACTAGAGAGATTATATTGTATTTTTCTAATGAATAGGAGTAATAGATAGAAAATAAAATGGAGAGGAATGGCACGGATTAAAAAATAATAATAAACTCTGTGTAGTAATCACAGATAGAAATGGCTTCATGATGGTAAATAGATAAATTTACTTCTTTGTTTATATTCCCTGCGCTTGATTCCATGGGACATCTGGAATTGCTGGAAGCCTGTCTTGGTGTGATGTATTGTGCCTCATTATATCTTCTGCCGGAGGGCAGTGGGGCCTGGGTCCAGGTTCTGGGGTGTAAGTAAAAGTTAGGCCGGTTGCATATATAATGCCATCATTTCGGACTAGAGACACTGGAACTTGTGTGGGCTGTCTTACCCACAACCATTCACCACGGAATGATGAAATGTCTGGCACTACACACAGCATACTTTCTTGACATCTATACATTGTTTCCGCTTCGACATCTCCAAACCACACTTGTAAATTTGGAGTGAAGTTTTCCCCAGAGAGTTCCAACATGGCCACATCACCACCACCGTTTAAATGCAGGCTGTGGACTATCGGCACTGGAGTGACTGGAGTTCTAACAGGCCCCATTCCTTCATAAAATTGGTATTCAGCTTTATCTGTGCTTATTATAGTCCAGCAAGCCCCATCGTTTATCATCTCCTTATTTGGCTCTTTGGGACATGGAGTGGCTTGAAATTGAATGATTCTTTCTTGTGATAAACATAAATACATGCGTTCTGTGTCCTTCATATAAAATGCACACTTGTGTAGTTGAGAAACCGGATCGTCCGCTTCTAACAAAGCCATCTGTTTATCCACTTTACGTATTATGAGGCGAGGTAGTGCCATCCCAGTCACAGAACACACTAATTTTACAGTACTACCATAATGAACATATCCTTCTCTAACACTAAATTCTTCACTCTCACTTTCATCATCGTCCAGTAAATGAATAGTAAAAGCACCCCACTGCGTGGAACTCGCATGGAAATTGCCGTTTTCCACATGTAAATATCTTGTACTGACAGTTTGAGATCTGAGTCTATTAAAAAGAGCCACTTTTGTTCCACTGGCAATACACAAATCAGCGTTTTTCAAAGACTGTTTTTTCTTGGACGGTTTTGATATTACTTTAATCCTTTTGCTTTGAAAAACACCGATGTCATGACCACTGCCATAGAACATTTTCACTGAAAGCATAAAATGTTTTCTTTTATCTGAATCGGAAATATAAAGTGTTTTAGCTGCACAGTACTGTTTTCCATTGTTTAAATCTAATTGCTGCATGTCTTGATCTGAGTTGCCTATACCGATAAATGCACAGAGCTGAGCAGCATGTTCCGAGTCTCCTTCTCTCAATAACTGTTCTTGCCTGAGGCGCCATCCTTCGCCATAAAGATATATACAGGGCGGAGGGCAAAAGAACCGTTTCTCATTACCGTAAGACTTTTGAGCAACTTTAGCATGAAGAATCACAATGACCATATCGCTCCTTTCCCTCAAGTATCTTTCCATCGCTTCCCTCGTGAGCCTCTGCTCGTCATTTCTATAGATGTATCTTTCAACGGGATTTTGTAGGCTGAGAGCCATTCCGTATTGGTGTGGCATCATGAAGGATAACGGTTTAGTTGTTTCATTTCAAGAGAGAAAAATGCTCAGCAATTAACGCTTGTAAAAATCATATCAGCACAATCATGGCGGCCCTTTTCCCCTGTAAAATTAAAAAATTTATTAATAAATAAAATTTAATAAATATAATTACAACAAAATATAGTATGTAAATGTACTAACAAAAATCTTTTAAATTAGAACAATCAGTTAGACAATTTCAAAACACAAATTGTTCAATATTCAATTTTTGTTTGCATTTTTTAATACTTCTGCCTATTTTAGATGTCCCAAATTTAACAGTTTTTACTGTTATCATACCATAAAATCGTATGCTAGATGATAATTTTTTATTAATTATCAAATCAAATTGTTTTAAAAATATAAACATACACCACAAAATCTAACTTCCATTCAAGTATATTCATGTACTTTTGGTCATCTTAATTAACCGTGGTATATTTTTATTAATTAATTATTTTTATGTAAAGTGAGGTTGAGATAAAAAATTAGTTTCACTAGCAGGACTCAAACCCATGACAACCGAATTATCACTTGAGCTATCGGTTTTCATTACTCCGAGAGTTTCCATTACTTCCATGTTCCATTACTATAAGTTCCATAACTTATGTAACTTGCAAACATTTTCGTATATATTTTTTGGATAGATATAAGTTTGAATAGACTAATAAATTGTAAAATATTATATATTTACATACTGATAAGAACTGTCAACATTCTAAAGAACTGATGTTAAATTTACTTTCCGATTATGTACAGATCTTTTTTCCTTTTCTCACAGCCTATAGAATATATTTATATATACATATATATATATATATTTTTTTTTTTAATGGACGTAACAATTAGAATTATATTAATCTGTGCTGTGTTAATAAAAGGTGTTAAATTATATAAAAATCGCTATCATTTCCTTGTTATTCATATTATCTTCACATGAATAGTATATAAATTATGCATTTTAATAGAATTTTGTAACAAGACCTTTTCTTAAACATTAAATATATTGAAATAGTAATGATTTTGACCGGAATAAAAAAGTTCCTTTCCATTAACATTCTGTAATTACGAAATTTTAAAAATGTGTAATAATATGATGGAACATATAAAATAAATTAATTCAATTAACTTTAATGATTGACTGATAGTTGTTTTAAATATGGTAAACTAATAAAAATAGTCATGTTCCATTTATTGTAGTTATTTAAGAAGCTTTTCCATATTTTCATAGATTAGTCAAACAAATAAGATTTTCTGTCCGAATAAATTTATCCAATTATAATAATTAATCTACCCTTATAAATTTGGTAAATATATAAAATTATTACCATTATCACATTAATATTTTGGTGACAAACTGGCATTTTTCTGCCTTATTGGCATTATTTTTTATTAATTGGTTGTGCTTTATAATAACTATCTTGAACCAAACAGTGCCTGGAATAAAATAAAATATAATAAAATTGGTGTTAAAAGCTAAAACAAATCCCATGCAAAGCATTTTTTACCTAATATCTTGTAAATATTTGTTACATTTTATTTTTATGGAAAGTTATAGTTTCAGCAAAGAAATAAAAAAAGCTGAAATGGCCGTAAGCAAAGACAGTGAGAATTTCAAGGAAAGGTAATCAGGGACGATCAAGCATAGTTTAAAATAGATTTTTATTTGTTTTTAATAGAAAACTATTCATATGAAGAAAGTTTTTGCCGAATATTTACAAAATCTACATTGAAAAAATTTAAACTGATATTACAAACATTACATTTGACAAGCTAAAAACCCTTTCTAAAATAATTTTTACAATAATGCATTACTATTATATTTTTTAATAAATTCATACCAATATGTTACATTACAAGAACACTTCCTTGAATTCATTTGTGCATAATAGAATAGAATGCGCACGTGATTAAAAAAGATGCAATATAGGTGCAAAATTTATACAGAACAGCAAAAGCAAATGTAATCTATATGCATAATTACAACATAAGTACAAAGACTTTTTGATAATAACATAAGCAGAAGAGAGTTAATCATGGGAATAACCAATGCAAGGATCTCTTCTATGTAAATAAACAATCTCTAGCAACGTAATTCTTCTTCAAAACAAAAGATAATCTAACAGAAGTTCGATTGTCCATCTTTTATAGATTACATCGTCATCACCAGGCCTTCACTTTAATTATTGCAATATTTTTAAAATTTAGTCATAATTGGAAAATGAATTTATGAAGTGATGTTCAAAAGATGAAATGTTTGAAAAAAAAGTAACTTGATTTGTGATATAATCACTGCAAGCTCAGCAATAAAACGATCTTATGTCGAACCACACATTTTAATCTTTCCCCTAATATTATAAAACTGACCAACCATTACAATCATCATCATTCAAAATATTATTATTTGGTTAGTGGTCATCATTAACAATATTAATTATTCCAATTAATTATATTTTAATCAAAGGTTTTTGGTTGAGATGAAAAATTCATCTGCTGTCATGAGCAGGATTCGAACCCACAACCTTCGGCTGGTTAGAGAAGCGGCGTATTGAGCCGAAAGTTGTCGGTTCAAATTCCACTCGTGTCACTAATCTCAACCAAAAACATTATATACAAAAATAATTAATTGTAATAATAATAATAATGTTTATTTAACAACAAAAACAAATGTATACAAAACAAAATAAATTAACGTTAACAGCATGGTAAGTACTGTCTGCCGGAAGTTGAAGCTAAGTCACTACACCAACAAAAATATAGTAATAAAATGTGTTATTGAAAACTAAAAGGTAGGAAACTTTTTAGAATAGACAAAGAAAAAAATTAAATTAAAAACCAGACAAAAACCTATTAATCATAATTGAATTCCTTAATTAGTTCAAAATGATAAGACCAAGCTTGCCACACGTATCTGATCAGTTCTAGGCAATTCTTTCCATTCAGAAATTCAATTAGCTGAGGTTCTTGTGTCCCGTATGGATTCTTCGTATGGAAATATGGAATTCTTAAGAATCAGCCATATTTTTCTTGTAATACTGATTTCGCCCTACCAATAATTCTTCTACCCTACCAAAAATAAATTCATTTGGCAGTCATAAAAATTATAGTATTAAATTCTTCTGTGATACATGAAAATTAAAGCAAAACTGCAAAAGTTAAATAGAATAGTGAAGCATAAAGTTGCTTCAGGTTGGCTTTAAGATTTCTAACTGGGCAAACATGACAATTTGAAAATTATTAATGAGATAACAAACTAAGAATGTTGTCAGATCAAGTTGAGGTGCCTAAAAATAAAAAGCCTTTTGCACTTTGTCAATCAAGTACAACTATTGTGCTCCTAAACCCCGATGGGTAGCCCATTGAGCCATATTTTATGACAGGAATTACTTTTATTTTACTTTACTCAGTTACAGTTATATTTACTATTGAGAATTTTTTGCTCATGAGTAGAAACCTTCTTGTTGGGATTTCATCAACCCTTTTACAAATTTAACGTTAGTTTGATCATTTTCTTTGGCCAGTCAGCCTTGCTTGTTTGGTCTTTCAGACTCGTTTTAACATTTCACCTTCTTCAGGGATTCAATTGGTGCCTGACCCTGAACATGTTCTTCATATTTAGGCTTCCCAGTTACTAACATACTGCAGTTTTCTCCTGACTTAGACAGAACAATTATTGCAAATCTTCTACACTACTAATATCTGCATACGCATCATGCCAAGTCATTAAACCAAGTCCTAACTAACAAATAATTATAGCACAACTATAGGTTCATCATCGTCACACCCTATGAAGGAAATCTCATAATAATAATAACAGTAATATAACAATAATAAGTGTTTCAATAATTCTAAAAACCAAAGAGTCTGAAAAAACCACAAATGGAACACTTTCAGCACAAACCACTATACATTTTAAAAATACATAACAAGGACATATTTGACAAAACATCACACATACCAACCAGAGAAGATGATTACAAGCTGTCTGACAGATGATAGCGACAAGAATAAACGAACCAAATCATAGTAAATGACCAAACTATAATCCAATTTATGTTTTAGTATGTTTTGTTAAACAAGAGTTCAACCCTTCACATTCTGACTAGTTCATCAGCTTCTTTCTTTACCCTTCTGTTCTGTTTGCCCCAGATAAACACAGTTTGGTCATATCCGATCAATTTGGTCTGCCTATCCTCAAGTTTCAGCTTCTCACTACCTTCAATGTCGGATATATATTGCAAAATGCATCTAACTGACCAAAACTGTGAGAACAGGATAAGTCGAAATGATCACAAATGACATAACTAGAGGTTCATCACCCCCAGCACCCATGAGGAAATCTCACAAAAATTGAATTGTCAATCGAAAATCTAACAAAATCTAAGAACAATCTAAAAAATTTAAGATAATTTTACAGAAGGGTCCTATTAGTGTTGCTAAGGAACTCTCTCAGCTAGTTAATCAGTCTTTTTATTATCCTTCTGTCATATTTGCCTGAGATGGGATACAGTCTGTAGTTTGGTCACATCCAATCAGATTGGACTGTTTACCCCCACAATTCTCACTCTTCAGTGCTTGGTCTGATTGCAGAAATGCATCTATCTAATAGATTGAAATGGTGAGCATAGATCGACAAGATCGGAAACAATACAACTAGCGATTCATCACCCCCACCCCAATGAGGAAATCTCACAAAATCTTTCAATTAATTATTCTTTTTATGCAAGGTCTTGGTTGAGATGAAAAAGCTAGTGTCACAAGCGAGATTTGAAGCCACAACCTTCAGCTACATAAAAGGATAATTAATTGAAAGAAGTAATTGGTCAATAAGACTACTAAACATAAATGGATTAATATAAAATAATAAATGTTCAACAATGTAAAAAAACTAAGGTAATTTTACAGAAGGGTCCTATTAGCATTGTTGAGGAACCCTCCCTGACTAGTTTATCAGCCTATTCATTACCGTTCTGTCCTGTTTGCCCTGAAGAGATACAATCTGCAGTTTAGTCGTATTTGAACAATTTGGACTGTCTAACCTCACAATTCTGCATCTCATCTTCAGTGGTCTGATTTCAGAAATGTTAAAAAACGACACAACTTGTGATTCGTCACCCCGCAGACACTATGAGGAAATCTCAAAAATAAAAAAATAAAATAAAAAAATCCTATTACTGTTAATGAGTAACTACTCCATGGCTAGTTTACGCTGATAAACATCTTCTGTTCAATATGCCTCAGATGAGATACAGTCTGCAATCCAGTCGTTTCTGATCATTCAGATCTACTATCTTTAAAATTCAGTGTTTGGTCTGACTTCAGAAATGCCACTGACAGACCAAAACTGTAAGGATAGACCAAAATTTTCAAAAACGACTATTACTTCATCACCTGAACCTAATGAAATCTCAAAATTTAATTCCGTTCTCTGGTCATATTTCTCCTGGAACACATGCACAGTCCCATTTTAGCGATCTTTCTCAGGTTTATTGAGTGACTATTTCCTTATAAAAGCGCTGCTTTTTACCTTTTATGTTATCAGTGAGTTGAATACTGACCACTCACTGTCGTTAACACTTTTTTATCGTTTATGATTTTTTTTTGGTGCAAGTATCACTTTTTTAAGTGACAAAATATGTATCTTAATAGGGTTTGATGGTACCCTTGTGTTGTGGCTCACATGGTGGAAGGGATTTTGTGTTCTTTTGCCTGTTTAAGCTTTATATTTTTAATTTAATAATTGAGTACACGGGTGCGAGTCGAGTCTAAATTGTTACAATCGTTATTTTTTCGAAAATTTCACACATGTTGAGGGGTGTTATTTTTATTATTAGGGTGTTTGCGTTTAATTTTAGGCAGTTATGATTGATTTATAAAAGTTATCAATCGTGTTAACAACGCATTGTTGTAGGATTCGGCGTTTTTCAAACGGGCTCGGGATTAAAAGAAAATCCCCAAAGGGGAATCATCCCAGAGGAGGAGAGAACCGACACTCCCAGAAATCTTCTGGCGAACCGTTCACGTCGCTCTTTTGGGGCTCTGTTACCAGAAGGCTCACCAGAAGGAAGACTGGCCCCAGGGGTGAGTCTCTTCTCCGGGGTTTTAAGTCCCGAATCGTGACTCCCGACGGCCGAAACGGGTCAAAAACGTTTCAAATCAATGTAGAAAGTCGAGTACTCACCTTTAAAAGGGAAAACTTCGGTATCGTACGGTTATGAGCCTCCTTAGATAAACGGTAAACAACGGTCGAACGAGTCTCAAGTCCCGATGCCGAGTTCAAAACATAGTTCGAAAACACCTGTTCGCAGCAGGAAATTTTCCGACAGTCTAGCCAACCTGAACGGAATCGATTTACCGTCGTCGGCCGCCGGGTGAAAAGAGTCCACCCCTTGAGAGGATGTGAGTGCTAAATGACGGCTGTCGGCCGGGGTGCGGTGCGAGTGGGGAATTGAACGACTTTTCTCATCTTTGTCCCGTCGAGTACTGAAAGAAGGTGAGAGGAGTCGGGAAAAGTCGGCGAGGAAGGCACCCTGGAAGGAGAGGAGGGCCGGCCGATAGCTCGCCAATGGGACCTGACGCCCCACCACGGGACGCCGGCTAACCGACGGCCCGCCCTCTCCCGCTCCCCGGCCCGGAGAAGAAAAGGGGAATCGAGGCAAATCTGATTTTCCCACGGCGCCGACGGCTTCGCTTCTCGTACGCACTGTGAGAAATAGAAAGAACATCCGTTCCCTGATTACGCCCGCTCGGCCCGGAGTCGGCCTCGGATCAAAACTTGGCCGGGCCCCCCCGCGTAAACCGCATGTCATCCGCGCCACCACCCGGGTTCCTTCACCCGTCAATCACGACATTCTCCCTTATCCCAGGTACGGAAAAAATTAACAAATACAAAGTTAAAAAATCAAAACATTCAAATATTTTATTTTTATGTACAGGTACAGTAGTCTGGTCCGCCCGTTCTCGCAGTACACTCTCTGGGCCGAGATACCACAAGAAGTCATGACTTATGACTAGATACGGGATTTTTATGCAGTTGCATATTTTTTTTGACGGTGGAAATCAATTATCTATCCGAATCATGTATCTAGGAAGGTGTATGTTAAATTTTATAGAGCATATTTTTGCATATTTGATAAATATCGCATAAAATTGCATATTTGAACCATATCGCTTATTTAAAGTACTTTTACGTAAAATCGCATTTTTCGCGCAAAATATTTAAAAATACTATATTGGTTTTCGGGGGAAGCATAAAAAAGTTCTGTAAAAAAATAACAAGTTGATGAAAAGTTGGTTTACTCGAAGAAAATTGAAACAACGAAAAGAGAAGATTCTAGAAATACCGACCAAAGAATATAAAACCCCTTTTTAAGTCTTATTTCAATATTCTTACAAATTTTAAGTGGCCTTAGACACTATTTCACGGAAGACAATTTAGAGAAGTACTTGTTTATTAACATTAATTATACTCAATTAGTTTAAAATATATAATGTAATTATATAAGTGAGAAAATATTTTTGTTAAATGTAAATAAACTCGAGGGGGCGTCGGTGGCCGCAACGGTTTAGGCGTTGATACGGAGCTGATCACTGTAAGGCAAAGGTTCCGGGTTCGAATCCAAGCGGCCTTGCATTCGAACCCGACACTTACAAATGTTTTTATTTTTTTTTGTTCAAAAACACCGAACACACAAAACATTTATTTATTTTAAAGTACAAATAGCACTTTAAGCCCCCTTACTTAAATTAAGTTTTATAAACATAATAAAATAACCACGAGGGTTCAAATAACCTCGTGTTGAAATACCCTCGTTGAAAAAAAAAAAGTTTTTATATCTATTTTATTTAATTATCTATATTTTTGTTTAAAGTTACTATAATAGTAAAAATAAACTGGTTTATTGCACATTGGCATATTTTGGCACATTGTTACTACATAAAAATCCAGTCTCCGCTTATGACATATCTTGAAGTAGTGAGGAGCAGGCAGGAATGAAATATTTTACAAAACTACCTTTTTAAATTTTTTCCCCCGATGTTTCAACCTTTATTCCGGTCATCTTCGAGGGGTCTTCACCTTTCGTAATCCTGGGCGGATTACAAAACATATTTTAAATGTACAAATAGCACTTTAAGCCCCCTTACATAAATTAAGTTTTATAAACATAATAAAATAATAATAACATCAATAATAATGGGGCGACGGTGGCCGCAACGGTCTGAGCGTTGACACGGCGCCCATCTCTGTAAGGTAAAGGTCCCAGGTTCGAATCCAGCGGCCCTATATTCGAACCCAACATACTTACAAATGGGCTTTTTTTTCAAAAACGCCGGCCCCCTGAGGGTTTATATTATAGCACTCTGCAATTGCGAACCCTCGTAAAAAAAATAAATAAAAATAATAATAAAACACATATTAAAATGTGTAAAAGCTCTTAACAAACATGTGGTATACGTTTGTATTCCTAGTCATGACGGCATTTCTGGAAATGAAAGAGATCACCATCAGGCAAGGCACACTGCAAACAATCGAAGGACAAAACATATGTTGATTGGAAAAATGCAATACAGATGTAAATATAAATTTTCAACCAAGTATTTCATTCATTCTTTATGTAAGTATGAAATACTCAGTTGGAAATTTATATATTGCAATTTTCCAATCAACATATGTTTTGTAATTCGTCCACGCCCTGAAGATGATCTGAATAAAGGTCGAAACGCAAAAAATGAAAAAAGTGTTTTTCTAAACTACCTCATTCTTGACCGCTCCTCACAAATCCAACAAATTAATAATAATAATATTATTCTGGAAATGAAGAGCTGATCAACAGGCAAGGTACACTGCAAGCCATCCACAAAGAACTGATCAGTTTCCTCTCCGCTCAGATGACAGTCGTTTATGTTAAAAACATTATCAACCGAAAGTGGGAGGCAAGATGGAATGGTCTAGAGATAGTTTGAAAGAAATTAAGCCAGTTGTACATAAATGGCCAACTGAGGAACTTGAGAGAAAAGAACTTGTGGTTCTCTCTTGATTACGAATAGGTCACATCAGGCGAGGCTTTTAATAAGCAACAATCTTCCAACTTGCCCTGGATGTATTTGAAGTTGGAGAACGAATCATTCTGACTGTAAAACATATTTTGGTCGACTGTCGCACTTTGCAACCCTTTAGTTTAGGCAAAGGCTCGACCTTTCGAATAGTTTAAAGGAGTTACTAGGTCTCTATTGTTTGTTTCGAAGAGCACTTTTCAGCTTTCTTAAATTTATTGGAATTTATAATAGGATTTAGGCCTTTTCCAAAATTCTTATACGTTTGAATATTTGCCTGACTGTTTGAATGAGAGTTTTGCATGCAATATTTATTTCTTTTTTCAGTAATTTTTGAGGCTGCCGTAGCGGAAAAATGAATAAAATATAATTGCGAGGAAATAAACTACAATGCCCAAAATCGAAATTTAAATAAGCTCCCTAAAAAAAGTAGCAGCGTACAAAAATCCAGAAGGCTGAGGTGTCGGGCGAGCACAAACCCCCGCTTCCTAGCATCCATCTCTACCACCTGCATCTTCATCCCTTGTGAATTTATCATCTTAAACGAAAGTGTAACAAAAATTTGTCTTCACCACGTCATAGATCCTGATATTTGGATAATCTTAGCGAGGATCAGAGATACATAAAAAATAAAGGCTTTGCGTAAAAACAAACAAACGATTCATCCTAAATGACTTTGTCGTCTTAAAAACCAAATTCTAAAATGGCTTTATGGCAAATTATCAAAGGTCTTGGAAAACTTCCCTATAGCTTGTGTACTACGTCTGTAAAAGACCTTTCGAAACGTCATATAATTTGTAGAACAACGTGTAGAAGACTCACATTTATCATCTTAAAAGCCGACAATTTGTGTAGGCCTAGGCATAAGTTAGAATATTTGGATAATTTCCTTTGTAGGGGTCATACGAGACTGGAAGGACAAAAAATAAGGTCCTTTTGCGTTCTTGCAAATTTGCTTCATCTTAATAGCGGGAATTAACCACATATGTGACCGTATGAAAAATCGAGAGTCAATGTCTTATTGATTTTTACGTTTAATATAACGAATTTATTATTACTAATTTGAAAAATTAATTGCATAACATTGCCAATGAAGGTTAATTCTCGGTTCTCAAGGATAGTGTCCGATGGTATTTTCCTAATCGATTTCTCGTTTCAACCTCCTAGGAGTCAAAATTGTACCTTTTCGGCAAAGTTTTATGCAGATCAAAGGAAAATAAAACAGGAAAACAGTAGTTATAATGTGCCAATTTTCTTGAAATCTACGATCGGAGACTTGCTGTAAAGCAAACTGCGTTACTTTACCACAATTTATGATTTCCAACTTTATATTTGTTATAAAAAAAATTGGCTACTATAGAAAATTCCATGAGATTATGTCAAAAATGAGTAATCATTTAAAATGTAATGCATTGGGTTATTTAGTCTGCACATTTGATAAATCCATAAGGAATTAGTTTTAATTATAATGTACTAATCTAATGATCAATTGTTGCACAAAATATTTTTCCAATTAAATTTTTTTATAAAATAGTGAGATTTCTGTTGAGGGCTGCGGAATGATGAACCTGCAGTTTGATCGTCTCCGATCATCTTAATGTGCTTATTCTCGCTGTTTTTCCGTGTCAGACGCGGCTCGGGATTTGTCCATTCTAAGTTGTTTGTCTGTCTGTTGTTTTGTCAATAAAGCCTTTTTTTAAGTTGATTAATTGTAAATTTAACACGAGACAGCTTGTAGAAACACAAATCACTAACAATTTACATAAATCATACACCGTTTTACTTTTTCAAAGGGACAAAAGATAAAACAGCACACAAACCTCTAAAAATGCCGAATTATAAATTAAATAGTTTAAACGACAGATTTTGTTGTTTTTAATAGCGTTTTCAATGAAAAAATATATTTTATCAATAAATTTAAAATGTTTAACAATTAGGAGATTTTGGATAATTGTTTAGCAATTACTTCTTTTTATTAAGGCAGTTGGAAATTTTACAGAAAGGTTCTGGTCCTATTGGGGTGGCTGAAGAACCCTCCTTGGCTTCAGTCACCATCTTCTGTTCTGTGTGCCCCAGATGTATCTGCAGTTTGGTCATTTCGATCATTTTGGTCTACCTGTCCTTGCTGTTTCGGTTTGTCAGACGCATTTCCGAACTCGTCTTTTTCCAGAAGCCTGACATACTGGAATATTGAGGATAGGCCGAAATGATAAAAAACGAATGCAACTGCAAGTTCATCATCCCGCAAACCCCATGAGGATAATTTCAATAAGTGATTCAACAATAAAAAAAAAATGATCCTGGAAAAAACTATAATAGCGGAACACATACCAATTACTGAAGATTATTAGAACCAGTCTAACAGATCAAAACAAAGATCATACACGAACCAAACCCACCATTTATTTGCGAGGGCTGAATCCCCATTATCTATCACTATAGACTGAGATTTTTTTTTTTTTTTTTTGAGAGAGAGAGAGAGAGAGAGAGTGAGAGTGAGAGAGAGACTGCCCCAGAACTTAATTCGCGCATTCTGACTAGTTTATCGGCATCTTTTTTAGCTTTCTCTCCTTCAAATTTTTCACAAAGTTCTGGTCCTATTAATGTTGCTGATGACCTTCCTTTCCCCAGACAACTTACAATCTGCAGTTTGGTAGTATTCGATCAATTTGGTCCGCCTATCTTTACGATTCAGCTTCTCTCCACCTTCACTGGGTCTGAGTTCGGAAATGGGTCTGACAGATCGAAACCGTGGGAATAGATCCAAATGACACAACTATAGGATCTACCTACCTCCAGATGAAATACAGTTTGTAGTTTGGCCGTTTCCGGTCATTTTGTTCTGCCTATCCTTAATGTTTTGGTCGTCAGACCAGTTTCAGCTTCTTTAGAGTTCCGAAATTGAACACAAAACAATTAGGATAGGCAAACCAAAATGATCGGAAACGACGCAACTTCAGGTTCGTCACCCCGCAAACCTCATAAGGATACTCACAATAATAATAAGTGTTTCAACAATTCAAAAACGATAAGACCCTGAATAAAACTATAAAAACAGGACGCTTTCAGAATAAACCCCTTTACATTAAAAAATAAATAAATAAAATAAAAAATACTAGAACAAGACACTATACGAGAAGTCTTCTTATAGATTAAAACAAAGGTAATAGATCAAATGATAGGAAATAACCAAATTATAATTAAATTTAGATATACAGATAGATGAATAGATTAGATAAGGTTATATAGGACCCGGCCTCTTTACGACCTGTGCACCGCGACTAGTATTGGTCCATTGTGCATGCCCATTTTTTAACTAGAGCTCCTCGTTAAGCTTGAGGCTTTTCACCAGACCCCAAAGCTTTTTAAGAAGAAGAAAAATAAGTTTATTCTGGGACTGGTGTTCCTAAGAATAATTTACATGAAATAAATAAAGGAAATTCCTTCTATGAAGTTAAAAGTAAAAAAAAAAGATAGAAATCTTGGCACAATGTATACCAATAAGGCAGGACAGAAGAAAAAATTAGGAGAATATTAAACAAAAATAACAAATGTTAACGTGAGGTCTCTGCTTGGAGGGAGAGGAGGTGATTATACAGGTGGGATTTAAAGGAGGAAAANTTAGTGCTGATTGGGTGGAATAACCTTGGCGGAAGCCAGATTGGAGGGGGTTGAGAAGCCCTTTTTAAAGGGCTCCCGTGTGTATCCTTCAGGCCCTGGCTTTTCCTCTCCCAGGATTAGAATCTTAGCCTACATAGGCCTTCCCACCAACAGAGGACGTGTTCCGCTGTTTCTTCATCTTCTTGGCTTGTCTTCACGAGCTTGTTTCTGCCACTCCGAGTCTAATGCATATGCCCCCGGGGTCTGCACTTTACAGTTACCAGTCCAACTATTATTCTAGTCCTAACACGTCCTAGATAGTGGAGTTTCTGTAGTTCTGCGATCGTCCTTCGATAAATTTGGGCAACATTCCCATTGAGCGGAGGACTTATTATTAATACATTGTCTAATGGATTCGCGTTTTGAGCAGTTTGGTAAGCCATAAAAGGGTTAAGGGCAATAAGTGTCCTTATTGAACTTTCCTTGGCCAATTTATCTTCGTTGCCCTCCTCTGCCCTGTGTGCCCTGGCACCCAGACAAGGGTAATTTTGTTATTTTCTCTAATGTCTGACAGAGCTCTAATGCAGTCCCAAACGACTCTGGACTTTACCGTCGATGCGGTAATTGCCTTCAGTTCCGCCTGGCTGTCCGAGTAGATGGCTATTCTTCCATTGATAATCCATAGCCTTTTTATCCCCTGGCACAGTGTTCAATAATCACAATTTCCGCTTGAAAAACTTGGCATATTGTCGTGGCTTATATGAATTCTAGTCCTCGGTTTATTCCCCTAAATGCCAGTTCCTATCTCATATTCGGTTTTGGTGTGTCATCTGTAAACTAGATATGATCGACATTAACTGGGATCCCTTTCTTCCAGTCAGCTCTACAAGTTATTTTGTTTGAAAATTTTTTCTCAAAAATAAATTTAACATAGATGAATAAATGGATGTATAAGAAAATTGATTAATAGGCCGGTTTCAGTGGTTGAATCTCTTCTACGGTTACGTTATAAGTCTCAAAACACTTCCTCCTGAAGGCAAGTGCAGCACTACAGTTTATTAGTAGATGTGTTGGTGTTTCTTCTGCTTCTTTGCAGAATCTGTACGTGACGTGTAGCGTTATGCCAATCTTCTTCAGATGTCCATTTAGTTTGCAGTGTCCTGTTAAGAATTCTGTTAGGATTCGCAGTTTTCTCCTGCTTCCTTTAAAACATTCTATTACCTTTTTCATTGCAACGTTTGTTAGGAGGTTCTCTGCTTATTTGTGTATAATGGGTGAGATACATTGCTCCTTCATTTTCTTTTATCCTTCTGTCTAAGGTGCTCATTGATAGTGTGCATTCCTACGCCACAGAAGGGTAATTAAATGTAGGTAGGTTTAGTAGGCAATTAGGTTTGCCCCATCTTTAGGCATAAATCACAAATCACATCCATTGAGTTACAAGATCTAAATCCTCATTCTCCCCCTCTAGAGACGGGGAAAATTTCCCTCGTTGTGGAGACACTGCCTCAGAACGAAACTCATTCCTTCAGGTTTTCACAATTTCACATTCTCCTGTAACCTGTATTGTAAACAAATACGAACAATTCTCTGAAATTTTATATGGAGAAACTCGATAACATCTGCATGCATTGACCCGTACGGTAATATCTTGTCCATGTCATTCTATACGGGAAGGTCGAAAAGTCCTTCACTTCTTACTTCTGTTTTTTATTTACAGAGAATGGGAGTGCACGGCTTGTGGAAACTCATTGACAGCGCCGGAAAGCCGATCCCAGTCGAAACTTTGGAAAACAAAGTATTAGCTGTCGGTATCCTTAAAAAATAAATAAATATGACTACAATGTTTTGCAAATCAAGTACTACTTGAGTGTTTTTAAAATTGTTTATTCATTTATAGAAATGCTGCGTACAAATATATTCGACTATAGAATAAATTTGTATATTTACTCTAGGCTGGGGTTCAGATCCCTGTATCGCTACCCCAAATACGAGATGTCAATACCCTAAATCTCAACTACCAAGACAGTTGAATCCACCAATCCAGTGTTCTTTTTGATAGTAATAATAACAATAGGTTTTTTATTGGTTGTTTGATAAACTTAATACTCAAGTTTTCTCTAAAAAAAATATATATATTATTCTACTGTCTGAAAACTTCATTTTTTGTAATTTTTTGCCTTGATAGTATTTGCATAAGAAAATTTTACCTAGTACTCTCTCGATTGGCTCAGAAACTTTATACAGCCATTTATACAATAAAATATCAATAACATAATTACCAAATAACCCTCGTCGCTAGCCAGAGAAGCAACACCAGAATAAAAGTTGATGAACTTAAAATTACCATTTCATGATTTTTATCCACTTGCCAAAAGAAGTCAAAATAGGCAATTCATAAAAAATTATTTTATCTTATATTGATAATATTGTTGCTGTTATTTTATTCTGTAGGTTGTTGTTAAAATTTATTTTTTAACTTGATCCCCCTCCCTTCCACAGATGTAGACAACCAAAATCACTTTTTAATAAAAAGTAATTTTATTTATTTATTTTTAATAATTTTTTTAAATAAATCGATACTTGTTTTTTTACTGAAAAAAGACTTAAAAGATTATTTTTACAAAAAAGTGTTTTTGGTTGTCTAAGTGTGTGAAATAGAGTGGATCAAGATAAAAAATAAAATAGGCAGAGCCAATACAGTATGACAGGAAAGGGGTTGTTTTATAAAAAAAGATCACAGCACCCTGGTTTTCAATCCTTAAAAAAAATTGGCATGTAGGATCATGGTTCCTGCCTGAGAGGTAGTGCTGAAACCTTGGGACACAATCGTGGTGTGCCCTTTCTATTATCAGGAATGCAGAAGGATGTAGATCAGTATTAAAAAGGTTGTAACATAATATACATAAGTTCTATCTCCAGCGGGATTTTCTCCGCTATGGAGGGTTTCTTGAAGGAGATAAAGAGGAGTGTGATTAATGTAAACATAAATATACACATATGTATAGACAATGTATAAGTCAAAATGATAGACACAATTACATATTTAACCATTGGCATACACACAGGTTGTTTTTTGCGAAGCATATTAATTTTTTAAATTTATATAATTAAAATATAATTGTATATAAAGGCTCAAGTGGCTCTGGCCTTAGCTGATGCAAAAAAAAAAATAAAATAAAATAAAATAACCATCATATATTTTTTAACAATTTCAAAAATACCTAGATCTAAAATATAAATACATTTTTTATTACCATAAATACACAGATTCATATTACTATTTTAACAATAGTAAAAATTTTCACATGAAATTGTTTATTTTAAAAATTGTGCCACAATAAAGAAAATGTTTTTCTGAAACCTACATCACACCAGACCGCATCTCACGATTTCTAAATCATTTTACACAGTAATGTTGGACGACCCAATGTGTGAAGGATACAATGGTAAACTCATTTTCCTTTCCACCAATCTCATATAATCTTCCTTGTTCTTCTGTATGTTTAGTACAGTGAGAGATTATATGGAGTAAATCTTCATATGTTCCACATGTTAGGAGAAGTTCCCCCCCCCCTAGGCTGTTTAGCCTCACGAAACCAGGTGTGTCGAGCTGAATTTGAGAGGCATCACATTCCTAGCATCATGAAGGCTTTTGTTTTTTGCAATTTCTCTTTTGTAGTTTGCTAAATTAGAAAAGGCTTCTACCAGTGGCACTCTTTTCTTTCTCACCTAATACCTACATGCCGGAACTTTGCTGCTGAGCAGTTTTCCTTGTTATACTTTAAACACAAATTTTCCTGTAAAATATATCCGCAGAATGTAAGCCAGCCCTGCAGAATTATACCAACATTGTATCAAGAAAGTTTTATATATATANTATATTTTAAATGGCAATATAATGAAATGTAAAAATAATGCTTAAAAAATCTCAAAAGGACCAATGAAATAAATATAAAATAATATGAACTAATCCGGAATTTAAACTTAAAATTACTTACTTCAAGACTTACTTTCAAATTGAATTTTTTTTTTAAATCACTACTATTGAACAAGATTACAGTGCAAATTATCAAATAATTACATAGATTATAAGAGATTAGAAACAATTACACAATTTCATTGTGGGAAGGTAGATCATATTTATGTCATGAGAAGATTTTATTTTTCAATTTCTCTTCAATGCATGCAGTTATGTGTAACGGTCATTTAAAACAGTGAAAAGAACTGGACATAAGGCTCAGATTTTATTTTATGCACTGTAATTTTTTTTATTTATTTAAAAAAATTTAATCCTGCAGTTGCACTTGTTAAAAGGCAAACTTTTATGCTCCTCTTTTTGTTTCTTTTTCCTTTGGAAAAATGTCTTTCATAGTTTCGTTATTTTTTGTTTTCATTCCCAATGAGCAGTCCTCTCTTCAAGGTCCCCTCCTCTAATAACACACTATTAAAAACAAGAAATTGTATTTGTCTGTCTTAGCTGGATCCTGGGAAAATCAGGTTGAATAAGAATATTTCATTCAAGGAAGTCGGGGGCAGTTCCCACAGTTAGGTGGTTAATTTCCTTCACATGCTATTGTTGCCCTAAGTACAACTTATTCATAACAATTAGCCCATCTTCTTCCAACCTACTTCCTCAGCTGTAATTACTCATTAATTTAAAAAAAAAAAAATACCGTAAAGGGACATTTACATAGAAAATTAAATCTTGAGTTAAAGAAGGGCATGTAAGCATTGAAGTAATTTTCAAAACTGTCTTTTCCGCATGAGGGATTATAGATTTTTAATGCAGGATGACAGATGTTCAATGAATTCAGCGGAGAAGGGAAATTACTACGCATTAATTATCTTGGTTGCCCTTTAAATGATAACAAGGCTTGAACTTTCTTCTTTTTAATGCCTTAAAGTGTGAAAGAATAGTTTAATATATTTATTATCTATTAAATGTTTAGTTTCTAAAAAATTAAATTAAGTTTTGTTTAAAGCTCGTTTTTTTTTAAATTAAAATTATATAGATTTTTTTTTATTTAGCTAGATATACCTATATATATTTCATTTAACTGTTGAAAAAGAATATAAATATTTTTTAAACCCACATAATATTTATTCAAAAGTTAAAAATATTTAAATTTCTTAACATAGTGGCTAGATGTATCAATCTGGCTCTATCAGTTGGTAAGAGGGTTCCACGAAACGTCTGGAAGACCAGTTCACAATGCATTCCTCCTGGGCCTGTTTCACCGTATCTGCAAACTACTCTTCTACAGAATCAAGCCGATATTCGTATTTGACGGTGGTGTTCCGAGTTTGAAAAAGAAGACTATCGTAAGTGTTACATCAGGCCGCTGTATGGAATCTAGTCTTATTTTATTTCTGCATTTATATTCTATTTCTGTGGTAAAGAAAATGTCTGGAAATAATGAGTTTCGTGATTACAAAATCTGTGGGAACTTTTTGCTCTTGTATTGTGTGTTGATGTACTTTTCATATCTTGATGGTGTGGCTGTGGGAACGGATGCTTTCTGACTGAAAAAGGGTTTAATAGTAATAGTAAAATAATTGGAAGTAATTTTTTGATTTATTAAATTTGAAAACAAATTTGTTTTCCATCTAAAGTTTGCATCAATTGTCTAGTATACAAATATTTGTCATACATGCATCCCCCAATCTTGTGACTTTTCTTAAAGAAAGAAGCGATCATGGTTTACGGATGATTAAAGGTTGACTGGTGAGGGCTTTGACTGCTAAATGTTCTCGTAGCAATGACCTGAGCAATACTCGACCATACTGTACACTTCTCATTCCATATCCTCGGCACATGACTGGGTAAAGCATTCAACTATGCATTTGTAACACTTTTTACCTACCTTTGCAAACATCCGTGAAATCAGCGTGAAGATTGGGTTTAACCAATGCCTGTCTGTCCTGCACCACACTGGGTGAAATTTTTTATCTGTTTTAATCCATTGTAAGGAATGGATTTTTTTAGGCAGCAAGACAAAAAAGCAGGCAAAAGGCTGAGGAAATTAATGAAAAATTAAGGCAGCAATTGTTGGAGAACTTCATCAAGCAACAGGCTATCGGATCTGTAATTGGTGGTGACTTTGCACTGAAGAAAATTTTACCTTCAACCAAAGATGATCTGTTTAAATTGCCTCCCATTGCTGAAGCAGTTAAGAAAGAGTTGAGTAAAAACCTTTTTATTTACTTATTGAAACATTAAATCATAAGATCGTTGAATCTAATGGCCAGAAATGAATCAATTTGAAATCAAAAACAAATATAAATTAAAATTTGTAACTATTTTGAGGGTTTTCAAACAAAAACATTGCTGTTGAGTCCTTGAAGCGTTACAACTAAATTATTTTATGCAGATTTGGTTATTATTCTCATTAAGCATTTTAACAATTAAATTGGAATGAATAAATTCTTCTCCAAGGTTTGTTGGTCATGGAAATTTCCCCAGTGCTTGTTTTCTTTTTTGTTTCTTTGAATTTGACAAAAAAATAGTTATTCAGCAGTGTACACTAGAGTCCGATGGGGCATGGTTTAGATGTTGACACAGCGCTCATCTTTGTAAAATAAAGGTCCTGACATACTTAACAATTTTTTTCTCAAAAAAACACCTGCACCCTGAGGGTTAATATAACCTATGACCTCGTAGTTGAAATACCAAGGATTTAAAAAAATGAGTGGAATGACATTTTGGAGTAAAAATGAGTGGAATGACATTTTGGAGTATTTAGTTCCAAATTATTCACAATAGTTTACATTATTAATAAGATATTATCTTTCCCAATATATCTTATAATTTAGGTTTAATTAAATTTTTGATTATAATCATTAATTTATATTGAGTCTTATAAAATCCACAGAATCGATGAAGGGAGTAGTTCTTCTGATGAAGAGAACTACACTAAATACGGTAATATTCATGATATTGATGTTAAAAGTGAGGAATTTCTTAATCTTCCACCTGACATAAGGCATGACATTCTTACCGAGCTGAAGGAAACTCGAAAACAAAATTCATGGGCGAAAGTGCACCTCATGCCCGAGGTAACGAAATCCGCTATAAAAATTTCCTGGGCAATTATTAAATTATAAATACTGTGTAACAGGAGTCTATGGAATTTTCTTCTTTTCAAATGAAACGTCTTTTAAAAAGGCGTGCTGTCCAAGAGGGCTTAGAACAAGCTGAAGATGAGCTCGGTGCAAGGGGTTTCACGCTGAACGATTTGCAGACCATGCTGACAGAACAGGGAGTCGACCTGAGCCAGAGAATAGCATCTGACAACACTACAAGATATATATATTCAACAAGTAACTAAACTGGTCAAAACATTAAGATAATAGGTACATTTTAACATAGCAGCTGAAAGCATTAAATATTTAACAAAAGTCCTTGTAATTTCTATTCATAAATTATATGTTTAAAACATTTTACTTTTTTTCTCTCTGGAGTAACATCAAAATTGAATGTTAGCAATTTTCCTTTTAATTTTTTCGCTAATGCGTTCAAATATTTTCTTGTTTAAATTATTTAAATTTACAAGCAGTAAAATTATGAGGCAACTTTGAAAACTTGAAACCATCTACATATCAGCCTTAAAAGTGTACAGTAGTTACAAATAAATATATTGTAAATTATGAGATAAATTGTTTTTAATTTTAGGTCCAGATCCTACAATGAGGCAAATATTACTGGATGGGCCAAGTTCTGCCGCTCTTTGTAATAAAAATTCATCTGATTTGATTAAAGAAGAGGAGGAAATTTCAGAATTAGAATTCGGATGTGTAAAAGATGACATGAAGGAGGTGCCATCCGAACAAGAAGAACCGAAAGGTTTGACACAAGAAGAAATATTACAATTGATTAAATTGGATACAAGTCAAAATTGTCCAAGCTCATCAGCTGGGCCTAGTACTTCTAAACAAGCTTACTTAGGAATTTGTGATGAAAATGATGTTTTAAACAGAGTTGAAACTGATGTTCAGAGCAATGTTAATGACCAGGCTGTGGAACATGGGAAGAATCAAAAGGAAGACAATAACCGCCTAAAACTGGACCATGAGAGTCTCCCACAGACAGATTCTTATTGTCAAGATAGCACAATGCTGCAAAAAGATTCCCCATTGTCTTATAATCAGCCGAAAGAAAACGGTTCTAAAAAAAATATTTTACATATCCTGCCTTTAACAAATGTTCAACATTCTCAAGTCTTAATTAATGAAAGAGTCTCAGAAAGACCTTATCGAGAATCAACTGAAACTGTTGAACGTAAACATTCAGTATTAGAAAGTAAAGTTGAAACTCTTTCAGAAGGAAGTTCGGATGATGATGGCGATTTTGTAGATGTCGAACCTAGTGAAGTGATGGTCAATTCTGAACGTAAAATGGAAATAATAATTAAGCCTAATGAAAATCTTAATGATGATATATTTGCCGACATTTTCACAGCACAACAGTCTGTTAATAATGAATTAATTATGCCAAAGGACAATACAATTAATACATCAAACATTAAAAATAAACTAGATAGAAGAGATGAAAATGAGAAAAAGATAGCAGGAAATTTATCAACCTCTGAGGTTGATATAAATGATGAAATTCAAAAAAACAATGGTAAAAATGGAAAACCAAATTTTGAGGCTGCTATAAAACATTCTCAAGAGGTAAATGAAGTTCTAGAAAATTCTCAAAAAAATTCCACACTGAGTATGAGAACTACAATTGAGCTTTCAACTGATCAGCTTGAAGAAAAAATTGTAAGCTGTAATTTCCTATGAATATTCCCACTTTAATATTACATTTTTAATTAATTTAATTTTTTAAATCCAAGATGGATTTGGAAAACGAATCTGTAGAATTATTGGCGGAAAGCAAGAAAAATGAAAGGATGGCTGCTTCAATCACTGAACAAATCACATTGGATGCCCAGGTAAAAATTTTATTTTTGCCTAATTTAAGACTTGCAATAAAAAAAAACAATTCATGATTGCAGGAACTTCTTCAACTATTTGGTATCCCGTTTATTGTAGCTCCGATGGAAGCCGAAGCACAATGTGCTTATCTTGATTTTTCTGGTCAGACTGACGGCACGATCACAGACGACAGCGACATTTGGCTTTTTGGAGCGAATAATGTTTATAAAAACTTCTTTGAGCAGAAAAAATTTGTGAAACAGTTCAAAGCTACTGATATACAGAGGTTTTACAGTAAGTTCGTTTTAAGGGATTTATTATTCCTGTTTAATTTACAGTCAAACATAATTTTAGAGCTGAAAAGAGATGATTTAATTATGATCGCAATGTTAGTCGGGAGTGATTACACAGTTGGAATTCACGGAGTGGGCCCTGTTAATGCGATTGAAATTGTGGCTCACTTTCCTCCTAAAGATGAAGCTAGTACACCTAATGAGAGGCTTCAATTATTTAGGGAGGCGTATCATTCGTCGAGGCTTAATGTTCATCTTCAAAGGAAACTTAAATCTTTGCAGTTCACCGACGGTCAGTTGTTAATCTCATCAACATCACAAAATGTTTATTTATTTATTTATGTTTAAGGATTTCCAAGTAGTGAAATAGTAAAGGCGTATTATTTACCAATGGTGGATAATAGTAAAGAAAGGTTTTCTTGGTCTCAACCAAATGTGGAAGGAATCAAGCAATTCGCTAATAGTAAATTGGGTTGGGATTTTAATAAAACTAGTCAAATACTTAAACCTGTTTTGGACAGGCTAAAACAAAAAACAGTGAGTATAATTTTTGTATAAATTTCATGATTGATTTTTAATATTAAACTCGTTTGTAGACACAAAAAACAATGCACAATTATTTCAATTGGTCATTTGACCAAGACGACTTGAAATTAAGCAAGAGAGTAAGCAAAGCCGTGAATATAATATCAACTGGTGTAATTCCAAGCCCACCAAAAATATTTAAAAAAGACAACGCACCAAATCAACTTAAAAAACAGAACCAAAGTTTCAGTGAAACTATTGTGCTTAGAAGTAAAACTCCTGCTCAGGTACTTATATTAATTTTTTTTCCTAGATAGATATATATAAATAGATAGATAGGTTTTAAGGTTTCCATTGGGAGGGGGGGGAGAAACTCTGCCTCGGGTTAACCATTTCCACGAGGTGAAACATTTTGCTACATGCAAGGTTAGCCATCATTTTGTGCAAGACAAGTATGCTGTTTATAAATACACCAACTGCTATATCAGAGTTTGCTATCATGGCAATACTTTTTGTCTTTGTCACATTTGGATGCTCATTTCCTTCCAGGCACCCTCTCTCTTGTTCTTATTATGATGAGTTTTATCTTTAGCATTCCACAAAAATCGGTAGCTGTAATACATTCGGATAAGTCGAATCCAGTCCTCCTGGTTCATTCTCATATTTGAGACAAGTGGATTTAAGAAGAGAGAAAGAAACAACACGAAACACTTTGATATGCATTAAAAAACTGATAGCTGGTCGATTCACTCCGAAACATCTTTACGCCAAAATTTTCCGGTCCTGGCTAGACATCCACAATATGAGACAAGTTTCGCAAAACAGTTGTGCGAGTGGTTTTCGTGCAGTGGAAACTGAGCTTAATAATAGTCACAATTAAAATTACTTTAAAAATATTTTATTCGGGGAAATAGTCTCCATTGGCATAACCTTCTCCCAACAAGTTACTAGCCCAGTAATGCCCTTGTTATAAGAGTTTTGGTCTTGGACCTTAAAAAAATTCAACTCATTTTCCAGCTATTTCCGATTATTAAACTCCCATTTAAGCATGCAATTGTCCATTGCTAAGAAAAGCTGAAAGTCAGGTAGGGACACGTCTGGAGAATATGGAGGGCCAGGTAGGACTACCCAACCAAGCTTCATCACTTTCATTCTGGCTGTATGAGGTCTTGTTTTGCCCTGGTGAAAAATTCACTTTTTCTGTTCACTAAAGCAGGTTGTTTCTATTCTATTTGTTGCTTGTTATTATATCTGAATTCGTAGTGCATAATGCCTGGCATACTCCACCAAACACAAAGCATCACCTTTTGTTGGTGAATATTTAGTTTTCACATCAATAGGATTGGGTCATTTAGTGACATGGTACTACTTCCTGGCATTACTCTACAGTGGGTGAAGCATCCATTTTTTTGTCACAGATGACATCAAAAACCCTCTCTACTTTGTGTGTGAAAGGAATTAATGGCTATTGTTTATACTGAAGTTTGTTAACGTTAGTCAGTTTATGAGGAACTCATTTGCTCAGCTTCTACATCTTCCCAACTCGATACGGACTACAGCAAATGGTTTCATCTGTGTCCAAGACAGAAAGTCTACCAGACAGTGATTTAACTTCAGTCCATCATTCCCAGAAGCAAACTTTTTGAACCACTTTTGGGCAGTGCACTCACATTTATCACCGAACATTGCATAGTTTACATACTGCCTCGGTTGCCCTAGTAGCTTAAATTGAAACAGTAAAGCATGCCAAAATTATGGCTTTTGAAGCTATGAGAAAGAAAATATTTTCTAATTTACAATGAACTGTTCAAGACACTTTTTCTTTATGAACTAATGCATTATCCTCTTGGTATTGTGAGATGTAAACATCTAATCCAGCTGTGTGAATAGAAATGTTGATTAATGATATTAAAACCATAACAAATGAAAATCCACACGCCGTTTTCTTTACCTGGTATAATCCATATCATATTTAATTTGAATAATTAAAATAATGGTATAAATTATAGGTTGCCCGGGAGAAAGCAGTAAAAAAATTGAAAGAGTATAAGAAGAGGGAAGAAGAAAAAAAATTACAAAAAAGCAAAGCAAGAGGAAATAAAAGCTAAATGTATTATAAAAAAATGTTTTGTTACAATCTCTTATTGTTTGTATACATCAATAAATTGTTCATTTTTCTAACAAAATATATTTAAGAATGCTTAATTAAGCATTTGATGTTTGTCCTATGCATCCATAACAACCTTCTTTATCACTGAGCAGTGGAATCTGCGTATCTTCATACTCATATTCGTCTTCGTAATCATCAGCCGGATGAGTACACCTAGAGGTGAAATACAGGGTGGCCACCAACGCCTAGGTAATTTCAGCAGGTTAAACAATTGCCTTTGTTGCAATAAAATTTGAACTAACCGTAAATAGAGAAAGAGCAGCCATTGCAGTTGTGCAAGTCGGGAAACCAAAATATTCAGAAATTACTCCTCCCAATGCTGGACCTGTCATATCACTAAACACAAATCTGAATAATTATAGTAACAATTATTTAATTTTAATAAACATACCCAAGTGAATACATGCATGACCATGCTCCAGCAACGATGCTGTACGTAGACAATTCTTTTCTTAAGCCATTCTCCCTAAAATACATATTTCTACTGTATAAATATAATTTCTTGGAATCTTTTGTAATGAACTTACTCAGCACATTTCAATATAGCTTTAAAAGTCGGCATCAAAGTTAAAGCAACTGAAATTCCAATTAAACACAATCCAAAAATATCCAACCAAAGCGACCTGAAGATCATAAATTTTTAGTTAATTACAAAAACTTATTTTCAATTATATACGAATTTTTTTACATTTCCATTTCTAAAAGTGGAGACGGTCCAAGCATTAGAAGGCCGATTGATGATAATATCAAGCCAATTACCATCATACTCCAGTGATTGTCCATTTTATCTGCCACCCAACCCCAGATCGGACTGAATATTCCATAAAGCGAGGCAAACAATAAAAATATCAAACCAACATGGTAACTGCTCAAGTTCATCTATAATAAAGTGTTTTTATGTTTTATTGCTGCATTAAAGCTAAATAAGAGAACAAGTTACCAGACTTAAGTGAGGTTCAAGTGTGGGATCTAAAAATGACCACGTGTTCGAAGCAACTATGATTATGCTTCCTATAATAATTACTGATGGTATTTTAAAAAGTTTGGAAAACGAAGCATGCTCAGATCCTTTTGCAGATCCTAAAACAAATTGGACAAATTTTGCATATGAAATAATTAAAAAGCACACTAAATAAAAAATTACCTTCTATAAGAGGAAGCAAAGCCCATGTACATGGAATCAAAACTATCATCAAAGCACCCAATACATAAAATGGGAGGCCAAATCCTCCAATCTAACAAACCAAACATTTAAATAAAATTCATTAATTAAAATTGTGTGTACTTACAGCAAACAACATTCCTCCAATAGCTGGACCCGCACTCATTCCCAAACCCATAGCTGTTTCTAAGACACCCTAAAAAGTTTTTTTTTAAATGTTAACGTGTGAGAAACGTTCAAAAAATAAATGTCATTTACTCACTAGTACTGCGCTTATATTTTCTGGAAATATTTCGACAACAAAAACAAAGCTTGCAGTCGAGTAAGCACTAGCACCAATAGCTTCTAACGTCCTTATAGTAAAGCAATAAAAAACGAATGTTGCATAGTTTTCCATTAACGGTAATACTCTTTGAAAAAATTAATCATACTTGTATTAATAAGTAAATAAAATGTTGATAAAAATCACTCTCCGGCAGGCGGATTGTGATCCATGCGTGTATTATGCTTTGCTAATAATCATTGTTATATTCGTAGAAATAAAAAGCATATATATATCACTTACCCAAAAAGTATGTTACAACCTCCAGCAAGAAACATTCCGGCCATGAATAAAAATTTTGCACCTACTGCTGGCAACTGTAGAAATTAAATTAAATAATTTTTATTTGGAATATAATTTTGTAAAATATATTTTTTGTACATACAATTTTACCAAAAACTGGTGATGTTGCAAAAACCACAAATGCATAAAAACTGAATACAAAACCGGAGACAGAAGTTGACATGCCTTTCTCAGCAGCCTAAAGAAAGAGCTTTAATTTAACCAGATCTCATCTTCAGTGAACCTGTCATTGGTTTATTTGTAATACTTCTCTCGGAAAAAATGGTGCCATCACAGACATCGAGGCAAAGCTGATGAATTCAGCCAACGTTAAGGTCAGAAGGGCGAGAATTTGCTGTCTGGTAAACTTGCATATAATTGACGGTTGCGGCCGGCTCCGTTGAGTTCGGAGGAGGCGCTCCCTCGACCTGCCCAATTCGCCATTTGTGACCTGTGTTGTGAGAGAGCCCTGGACGAAAAATGAACTTGATTCTGACTTGGAACGAAGTCTGTTTTGGAAAGATGATGTGTGACATCTCAATTTGTCTGATTCCTTTAAAACTATTATTCCATCTGGATCTCTGTAAATTGTTTGGAATATTTACAAAATAAACATGAGACTGGTTTTACAGTTATCTTGGCATCTTGCAGAATAGTTTAAGAATGGTACAATATTAATACGTGAATAATTTCTATATTTGAAGAAAAAAATTTAAAACTGTAAGGAATTTACACGAATTCATTAAAGGTGAAAATCAGGTACAGGTAATGCAAACAATTAAAATGACTATTTATAAAGTATTATTTAACAATTAAATGTTAAACAATTAATTTTATAATGAGTTGTAAATTATATTTATATTTAGATAAAAGTACACTTTATTGCTTAAATGTGAAGTGTTTTGCCATATCAATATTTTTAATGTCCAAGAGGAAAATTAATTATCAGTTGCATAACAGACCTCCAATCAGTAAGAACATTGTTAAAATTCAGATAGACAACATTAAGCAAAAGATAAAATTAATGTAAAACCACAAAAATCTGTGCACATCATCGGAGAACTTAAAATTTGCACAATTTACTAATTCATCACTCTAGGGCTATTATTAGCATGTCTAAAATTTCATAATGATGTTTTTTTTTGTTTTTTTTTTTAAAGAAAACGGTTTTACTACAAAATTAATTTAAAAGTAAACACAAATGGAGGAAATAATTCACACTCAAATCTTTTTAATAAATCTAGTGACCTAGTGAGTTTAATAAATAATAGTGTATTATTTTATTGTTTGAACTTGTTTTTTTAATTATAAAAAAAAAAAAGTTCACATCTAAGTGTTCTACCATACCTTGTACTGTTGTAAGCAGGAGTCATTTAATGCAATAACGTTAATAGTCACGTTGTAATCTGATACTGGACATCACCAACCGAGTAGGTGGGCACTCTTACAAGTGTTTGTATTATAATATTGACACAGATAAAAAGATTCATTTGATGTACATCGAAGGGTACTGCATGGGATCATTAAACAAATTCATTTTCAAAAAAATATTCCATAGATCAAACTCATCTAATCCATGTTGGTCCCCTCTTATTAGATAACTTTTAATTTTTGTAGTTTTGTAAAATATTGTAATAAATTGAAGCAGTCAAGCCCAAGGCAATAAATTACATACTTTTAAAAATATTTTTATTTATTTTTTAATTTAATTATTTAAGTTTAGCTAGAGGGGCAGATTTTCAATAAAAGCACAGCACAACATGTAGCTGATTTATTATTAACTCTGGTTCTGTATGGGTTGTGAACTTATATTTAGGATTTCACTGAGGTTGGGCTCCAGGGGCTATCAACAGCTAGGTCATTTCAGCCCCTAACGCAATCAGGTTCAATCCAAACCCTCTCACACTCTCCTAAATACATACAGTTCTCAAAACTATCATTAGTATATATGACAAAACTGCCCATTTCCTCCTAGGATTGACACAGAACTCAGATACTTGCTACCATGCTCAAGCACAATTCTCATATTGGTGGCATTCCCACTGGCTCTCTGTAAGAAGACAAGGGGATCCACACTTCAATTAGGTGGGACACATTAAGCAACCTTTCTCTACATGCCTCACACCTCTACATGCTTGACCCAAAAATTAGGTGTCCATGTCAACCTCGCATGGCCTAATCTTAATCATGTGAGGATGACCATTCTTCTACTGGTTTATATGTTGTTATTATTATTTATTTTAATTGGGTTTAATTAGGACTGTTACATTTACCAAAATAATTTTTAGTTATTTGAGTTTAGTTGTTAGTTTAGTTTGTTTAGTTATTATAGTTATTAATATTAATTTTTATTTCTAATTGGATTGTAATTTTTTATGTTATATGTTATTACTTTAATTTTTATTTAATCTAGATTTTATAAATGTTATTTTCTGTTCATTGTATATTTTTTATTAAATATTAGTTTATATTGTAACTGTTACTTTTCTGCTGTATTTCATACTCACATAAAGAATGAATGAAATACTTGGTAGTAGAAAATTTATATTTACATATGTATTGCATTTTTCCAATCAACTTATGTTTTGTAGATCACACAGGTCCTGAAGATGACTCGAATAAAGGTTGAAACATGACAAAAAAATGTTTTTCTAAACTACCTCATTCCTGACCGCCCCTCACGACTCCAACAAATTGTTAATAAATACATTCCCTCTCAATACATAAAATGAGATATCTTCCAAATACTATATTTTCCCACCAACTTTATTAGGCTAATACTAAGTACAGAAAAAGACCCATTGCATAAATTTCCTAGTATTAAAAAAATAAATAAAAAAATTACAAACATTTCTATAACTTAAGTTGGTGCTATAGGCATCCTTGAGGTAAAGTTTAAGGGCAACACCAATAGAACAATATATTCCTGAAGCAATATTTTCATGTAGATGACCAGATAAAGGTCAAAATGTCGACAAAAAAATGAAAAAGGTGTTTTTCTAAACTACCCCATTCTTGACTGCTCCTCACGAATCTGACAAACAACTAACCTACTGATCACTAAAAAAAGCACTTATTTTATCAAAATAATTTGATTATTATCATATTATAATATTTTAATTATGTCTATTATATTTTATTTTTGTGCTATTACTTTAATTTTTATTTCCAATTTGGTTGTGAATTTCTTATTATTATTTAATTATATTTTATTGTTAGTACTTTCATTTTTATTTCTTCTAGATTTTATAAAAGTACTATTTTATCCAGTGTATAATATACAGTGTATAATTATGTTCTATTATATTTTTTAAACTGTTAATTTTCTACATTTTGTACATTTAAAAAAACAGGGTGTGGCTGCTCTTAAATAAATATAAATACAGCAAAAAATAAATCTTGTCTACTTTATTTTTAATGTGTACAGTTCCATTATTAAATCAATTTTCATTAGATGACATCAAAATATATAATATTTTTGTTGAATTATTTATTGGCTTAGGGCAGTTTTATGTTGATGTCATGTTCGTTCAGTGTCTGTAAAGTGATCTGTGTTGAAAAAATATCTATAAATGTGAGAGATAATAATCTTTAGAAATACTTTTTTCTCCAAAAGATAAAATCACATGGTGAAACTAAATATATATTATTTTCGTGTTATTTGTTTTTGAAGTGGGACGATTTTTGAAATTTGATGCAAGAGACCGGAACGGCTAGACGGAAAAGGCCCTGCGTTAGAGTGCGTTGGCTGACTTTTCAAGTTTAACGGTCAACGGCCATCGCCAATTCGAGTTTCCACTTAACTTACGAATCTCCTTCTCGTCCGGTGATTAACGTCAATTTCTCTTCAAAAGGGCAAGTTTAAATCCGGTCTAAACACCCGAACAACTGTAAATAAAAATATGGAAGAGGAAATCGCCAAGAAGAAGTTGTAAGTTATTAGAGTATATTGTATATTGTGACACCTGACTCTGAGTTTTATACTTGTCAGGACGTGTTTTATGTTTTTCCTCTATTGTAACGTCAACTCCGCATGGAATGATTGTTCTAATATCTTGAATTGAAAGTATTTAACTGTCTTTAAAAAAACAACTATTATATTGTCAGAGAATAAGACAACTGACGACTGAATATTTTTATTTGAAGTCAATGGCATGATAATGTTTATATTTTTTTCTTAGTTGTCGTATATAAACATTTAGCGTACTTCTAGTTGGCTGGTTTATTCCTAGTTATTTGTCACCTACTTCTACGTGCATTCCCTAACCGTACATCGATTGCTTGTTCTATTGACTACCTATCAACTATTACTTACTTTTTTAGCTGTCTACTTGTTTGTTTCCCCTGCAAGTTAGAGCTTTTGTTACCTGCCATTATCTGTCCTCTACTGGAATGAGTCTTAGTTGTATGTCACATACTAATTTGTTTTCTAGCCTTTTTTTGCTTGCAAATTATAGCTTTTGTCAACTATCAGTTTGATTTCTCTGTTTATTCTGTCTTGATAGTTTATCTCCTTCTTAGTTTCCTATTAGTTTTTGCCAGATAGTTCGATTCCTAGCAATTTTTGCCTGCTTGTTTGATTCTAGGCAGTTAGTTGCCCCCTACTTTATTTAGCAGTTTTTGCATGCTGATTTGATTCCAGGCAGTTTTTGCCTAGTAGTTTGGTTATTGCGTGCTATTGCCTGCTAATTTATTTTCAATTACTTTGTTACCTGCTAGTTCAATTCCTAGCAAATTGTCCATGGTAGTTTAATTATTGTTGGCTTATTGCCAATAATTAATTTCCGAGTTGTTTGTTGCCTGCTAGTTTCAATACTATCGGGTTTTGCCTGGTAGTTCAATTTTTCTTACCTATTGGCCATTTCTTTCCAAGCTGTTTATTGCCTGCCAATTTGATTCTTACATGGTTATTGCATGCTAATTTGTTTGCCACTCATTTCTTTGTTTCTTTCTTAGTTGTATGACACTACTAGTGTCCTGCGTCCTTGCTTATTGCTTGTTAATTAATTTCCAAGTTGTATGTTACCTGCTAATTGATTAGGAATTTGTTGCCTACTAGTTGGATTCCTAGCAGTATTGTGCTTGATACTTTGATTACTTCTTGCTTATTGCCCGCTAATTTACCTCCAAGCTGTTTATGGTCTGCCACATTAATTCTTATGATTATTGCATGCTAATTTGTTTCCCACACTTGTTTGTTTCTTTCTTAGCAGTACATATTACACTACTTGTGTGTCCTGCGTTCTTGCTTATTGCTTGCTATTTGATTTCCAAGTTGCATGTTACCTGGTAGTTTGATTAGGTGTTTGTTGCCTGACAGTTTGATTTCTATATGCTTATTGCCTGCTAGTTTGATTTAAAATAGTTTGTTGCCTACTAATTCGATTCCTATCTCTTAATTGAGTGCTAATCAATTAAGATTTTCTAAATTAAATTATTTATTGCTGCTTAATATGTCCCTTTTCTAGTCTCAAGTTTACTGTTTAAATAATAAGAGAAGTAAACAGTAAGGTTTGTGATTTAATAAACACCCACCTGCAACACACAAAGAAGTGTAAAACAAAAACAAAAAAACAACATTGAAATGAAAAGAATTAAAACGTTTCAATTGTTATGGCTTCCCTCTTTACAACTCAGGTTGATTAACTTAAACTTTTCATTAGTGTCGAAGTGTGTGGTTCTTTTTGTTTTAAATTTAATTTAAAAAATCTTCCGAGCAGTTTATTTGTGTGGTTGTGCTTATTGACGAAGGCTGTTCAATTTGGTATGCGACTAATGTTGTAAGAGTACAGTATCAGACCCTTCGAAACAGTGTAGAGAGGTTTAGGGAGACAGGCTCCTATGACAGGAGGCCAGGATCATCGGACATGAACAGCTGCCTGACATATTGAAACCATCCTGGAGTCAAATGTTCTCCCAATTATGGATGCAGGTGGTGAAAATGTAAATTTCTAGCAGGATAGTTCGCGAACACACACTGCACGTATTGTGTACTTTTTTCAAGAACACAATAACCGTGTTCCAGCTCCTTCTCCTGACCTTAATTCGATTGAACAAACATGGGATATACACTGAAAGACCTAGAGACTGCTCATTGAAGAGTGGGCTAACATTCCGCGGAATCAGATTGAATCCCTTATTGTCCCAAGACGCATGTACGCTGTAACTAAAACCTGCGGTGGTATTACCTCTTATTACAAATATTTCCCCATTTACCATACATTTTAATATTCGAGGTCCACTACCTCAGAAAACTCATTATTTAACTTCGAAATTACATTAAGCAGTAACAAACAGTTTCAGAAAATTGAGGTTGGCCGTTTTTTATAACAATAATTTTTTTTAAATTTGCAACTGAGCGTATTTATGCCCTGCATTACAAATTAACAAAACAATTTAAAAAATAAATAGTATGAAATTAGTTAAGAAGACATCAAAAGTTAAGATATCAGCAATAAAGCAGTAAACATAAGCCGATATAAGTTAATTAACAAAAGTCCTTTGTACAACATTATTTTTATTCAGTTGAAACTTTTGTGTACAACAAGCGGGTTTTTGTGTAACGTGCAGTAGGCATCAATCTACATATAAACTATAGCGAAGGAATGGCTAGGTAAAGAAGACACAAAACACTTTAAAAACAAATGTTTGGAACTCGTTACTACTTTTGCTAGGGTTCTTCTTGTTTAGGTATTAAATAATCGCATCCATGTAAGACAGCTTAGAGCAGAGCATGCATTTTATTATATAATGTGCTAGAAATTTTTTATCAATGTATTTAAATTAATTTACAGAAAATTGAAAGAAGAAATTGCAACTTATAAAGGAAATGACCCTCTTAAGTTAAGATACGATTTTCTTGTGTGGTTGGACACCACTTATGGCAAAGATTCGTGTTCAAATCATTTTAATGCATTACTTCAAGACACCCTTCAAGTTTTTTGGAACTCAAATTATTACAGCAACGATGAGAGGTTTATACAACTCCTTGTGTTTTATGTAAGTTTATTATTTTGTCATTTAAATTGATTATTGTCCCATCACTAATTTAGATGTTTATTTCTTTAGACCGAGATGCAACCAAACCCTTTGGAAGTGTTCGTAAAGAGTGTTAAGAAAGGGGTTGGTGTTAAGTCTTCACAGTTTTATGCAAGTTGGGCGAACGAATTTTGCAAAGTGGACAATTATCAAGAAGCAGATAGGATATTTAATTTGGGCTTTTCCAATAACGCAGCCCCTAAAGATGTGTTGGAAAATTTATACAAGTAATGTTAATTTAAAAAAAAAATGTTTAAATTAGCTGAACTTTATTTTCAAGATTTTTTTTCCCAGACAATTTCTTCAGACAATTGGAAAAAAATACCTTAGAGGTGAATTGACAAATGATGTAAACACAAAGAATCTTGTGTGTTCTAAATGTTCCTCTCAAGTGCAGGTATAAATTGATGAGTTCACTCGTAATAAGTAAATTAAATATAACTGACTATTTGTGCTGTTTTAGCAAAATGGCGAAGCACCTCCAGTTTCAACACCACAAGATTATAATATTGAAGATCCAGTTCAGTGTGAGTACATCTTCCAGATAATGTATTTTCGTTACTGGACAATGTAATAAGAAAATTCCTAAAACTATTATTTCAGGCTGGGAAATGAATCCTTTGAAAGTCGGAGATCCAGATTATTTTTCATGCGCTGTTGTCTATTTGGAACCTAAAGATCCTGTTAAAGTAGCAATGTATCCTAAAGATTTGGTAAAAAAATTAATGTTTAAGTAATGAAAAGGTATGCTAATAAAATGCTGTATCGTTAATTTAGGTATACGCCAGTGAAAAAGAGATCAGCCTTGAGGAAATAAAGGCAAGAAATTATTTAAATAAACGTAAGTTTTTAACACTAAGAACAAAAACACATTTCATAAATGCACTTTACTTTTTTTTTAATATATTTTTTTTTTCCCCCGAATATCAAGTTGACACTATAATGGCAGTCGATGATATAATTCTCGAAAAGAAACCTCAAAAAGAAGAAGAAAACAGCAATACTAAAAAAGTACAGTATATTTACTAACAAAATCACTATATAAAACATATAATGTTAACCAGTAGAGTTGATGTCGAGTGTTGGCCTGCGAGTCGGTGAACACTTGCTGAACCTGAGTCACATATACTATACTCGAGTGAAGACGGCAACTCAATAAGTGGTCCAGTGTTGGTTCAGCAAGTATTAGCCAGTTGCTTGATCGTCTCAAATTATCCTAGTCCTATTTTCAAATAAACTTGACAGGCCATGATAATAGACCACCCATTTAATTCAGAAATGATTAACTTAAGCAAAAATGGGCTTATACAAACCCCAAGTTAATTTTGGAGCTGGGAAATTACTTTATTTTAAATGAGAATCCTATATTTTTATTGTACAATTCAATTTTAGAGTTTTTTTTAAAGCCAGTTTTACTGAAAGGAAAATTTTGAAAAGAAAAGGATAATTTCTGAGTTACGCCCGACAGAAGATGCGTGAGTGAGGTATGCTTTTTGTACCAACAAGTTGGCCCTCCTCGTTTATTTCAAAAACGATTAACTTTAGCAAAAAATGAACTTATACAAACCCTAAGTTAATTTTGCCTAGGAATTGTGTAGTTGTAACAGATTTAACATAACATTCTCATCTGGCTGGGAAGTTACTTTGTTATTTTAAATGAGAATCCCATATTTTTATTATATGATTTGATTTTAGAGCTTTTAATTTAATTTTTAATGCTACTTTTATTGAAAGAAAATTTTTGATAGGATCGACCATTTCTGAGTTATGCCCGACGGAAGACGTGTGAGAATGGTATGCTTTTTTTGCCCTCCTCATTTATTCCGAAAATTATTAACTTTAGCAAAAAATGGTCTTATACAAACCCCAAGTTAATTTAGACAGTTGCCATGCTCATAACAGTTGTGTTTACTTGGACATGAACCATACAGGGAGATAGATTGGCACACAAGGTCCTATTCCTTGGCCTCCAAGGTCACTCTTTGGATCATTTTCTTTCGGAGGCATTGATGATCAAGTGATTGCCAGTCCATCTCCAGTATTGACCGTCCAACAATTGGAAGAACTGATTGTGGTTTGCAAAGAAATCTGCCTAGAAATAATAGAAAAGGCCATAAATGAAGAATTCCTGAAGTGAGCAGAGCACTGCGCTTCAAACACATGAAGTATATTTTACAATTTATTTTAAACATAAATTTTAATAAATAATCAAATCTGCAGCAATACATAATAGCTGAGTCATTTTAAAAATAAAATTGTCTCGATGATGATAAAAAAAAGAGTAGTTCATTTTTTGTTTCAAAAATTAATATAAGCTAAGCAACCCTGTGATCCCTACCTTATTCTGAGACGATTCCTATCCTAAATTAACTTGCTAATGCTAATCGTTTTCAAAATAAATGGGAGGGCCAAAAAGTACCCCCCCTCACATGTCTTGTTATGCCCGGGCATAACTCAGAAATTTCTATCAAAATTTTCCTTTCAGAAAAAGTGGCATAAAATAAGCTCTAGAATTGAATTGAACAATGAAAATATGGGCTTCTCATTTAAAATAACAAAGTAAGTGTCATTCCTAGCTCGATGAGAAAGTGATGTTAAATCTGATACCACCTCACGATTCCTAGCCAAAATTAACTTGGTGTTTGTATAAGACCATTTTTTGCTAGAGTTTCCATTGTATTTTATATCATTTCCAAATTGAATGGGTGGGCTATAAAAGTTGATATACCCTGTATATATTTTTAAATTTTGATTTGATTTGATTTTTTTTTTTAATGAGAACCGTTGAAGTTTTAATTTCTATGAAACTATACAGGATAGATCAAGCCATCTCTCTAGCACGCAGTGTGGAGACATCACTAAGGAAGCAATGAACATCATTGAAGAAATGTGGTACAGCCATGGTCTACCTCGTAAGGCAATAGTTATTTTTTGAGTATATGTACTTACTGTATTTTTTCTACATTAAATTTCCTTCGTTGTTTCCAGCTGGTTGCCCAAACAAATTTACATCTTCAGAGCCACCAGCTCAAAGTGAACCGTTCAAAGTTTACGATGATGAAACACCTTTGACAATCAGACAAAAAACCAATACACCTTTTACCGTGTGCACAGAGGATTCTAAATCCGAGAATTGTGATCCTGAAAATAAGCTCAAGGGATTAGCCAGCATTAAAAAAACTCAACCTTCAATCCCAAGGGTGAATGTCTTATCGGAGAGGAAGATAGATCCAACTCCTGCTCTGGTTGAGAGGCCATCTATAGCAAGTCAGAAACTAAACTTTGGCCCTATGGATGCAGATGGTCGTTTATCTGAAAAGCTGAGCCATGCTTCAATTAAAAATAATCCTCTTGTTGGTATTACTGAAGTATGTATTTATTTTATTTATTGGGTGTGTGTACAGGTTGTTTCTGTTTTCAGTAAAAAAAGTCAAACTTTCAAAATATAAATTTATTTTATTTTTAAACATAATTTCCCCAAGGTTTCTATAAACCACCATTCTAGTAGCAGAAATAATAGTCTGACTTTTGGGATCAACTACCCCTTTCTTAAAATTTCTTTTAATAGGGCTTTTTCCACTCTGAGGCTAGCAGGTAATAATGAATCACCTTTATAAGGATGAAAATCAAAATTTGAAAAAAAAAAATACGCAGACACCCAATACTTATACATTTGTTTTAACTGGATTATTTTACTTTGCATTAATTTTTAGCTTGATGATGGCTGTGATGATACATGCAACACTAAGGCGTTTGCTTTTGTTCTTCCTTCATCCACACCTGTTCATCAAAAAAAATCTGCCACATCTGGACAAAACGCTTCTAATAAAAATGATGGGTAAATAAAAATCCCACAACTTATATAAATAATCATAATATATCTAAATAGATAATTTATTTTTATAAGGTCATACATCGAAGAATCTAATGATAAAAATGATCGCAAAACACAGCAAGAACTGAGCGTCATTCTTGAGGCTAGTAAAGAGAGATATAGCAGTTCAAGTAGCAGTAATGGGTCCTCTAATCCCCGAACCCCTGGATTTCTAGCTAGACCAGGTTGTTATGTATTATTAACGTTTAGGTTTATTCTTCCATTTGCTTCATTAACTAAAGTTATTTCTTCCTAACAGATGTTCAAGCATGTGTCCTATTCCTTCAAAATCCTATCTCCTGGATTGTGTACCAAGATTTGTGTGGAACTCAAATGTTTACCTATGACTATTTCCCGCTCTATGTCCCAGAACATTGCTTACATATGCTCTTTTTTTATGAAGTCTTAAGAAAAACATATAGAAATATAAATTGGAAAGAAACTTTGACCAATACATTCACTCCAGTTGCTGTACTCTGTGAAGAATATGTTACGAAATCGGCCACAAAAAGAAAAAGTTATTGCAAACTGTTTGAAAATCAGATAAAATTATATAGCGATGAAGGTACAAAGATTCCACTTTTAGAACTTAATTCTGCCTTTGGGAATTTAAAACAAACTAAGTTATTGAAATCAAAGGGAACAAGGTTCAGTGATTTTGACGACAGAACAGAAAGAAACAGTTCAGTCCTTGAAAGAAGAAAGATAAGATCGCTGTCATGTAATATGTTAAATAATTTAATTCCAGATACAGCTCTCAGAAAACAAAAAGGTTTCAAATCTCAAAGTTATCTTTCTAAAGATACAAAAAACTCATCTATCATTAAGCGTAACAGAGATTTAGAAAACTCTGGTAAAAAAGTAGAAAAATCAATCAGACTATCAAAACAGCCGGGCTTGGAAAATACTAAAGGAAAAGTCCTTGTAGAACAATCAGACAATATTATATTGGGTAATATATTATAAAAATTAAAATTAAATTAACTTAATTATTTTTATGTACACTCCATCACCCACACAGTAATAGTACTGTTTGTTATCTGTGATTTTCATTATTTCTTTGGCTATTAATAATCCTTGTGGGTTCTCAGGGATCAACAATATTAAGGCTTTTTTTATTCATCATAATTACTTTAGCTTAAAAAAAAATCAAACACCATTGATAGGAATGTTATTATTGAAGGTTAGACAAATTTGTTTCCTTTTTTTCATTAATTAAAATATTATTTTAAAAACAAAAATATATAAAAATTTTATATTTCTTGGCTTTCAAAACATAAACATTAGTTGACCCTAACCACCCCAAACTTTAGTTGACTTTTTTTCTTATGCAGATCTATTTTTTATTTCCAATAATTTTCAGATATCATCAGACCACTAAAATATGACAACATCGAGGATCCATTTTGTCCGAAGTTAATAGACTCGTTCCTGAATCAGATGAAGTTTCCACTTCCGTATCAATCTGCACAGTACCATATTATGAAGGGCAACGTACCGAACATGACCAAGAGTGTAAAAATAGGTAAAGTTTTCTTTATATTACAACAATTGGTGAATAAATAAGTAATAAATTTTGAGAGCCTACCTACACACCATGACCAGTATTGGTCCATTGTGCATCTCCTTTATTGTCTAGAGCTTTTCATTAAACTTAAGGATTTTTACCAGATCCCAAAGCTTTTTATGGACTTCGGGCTTTTCCTCTTCCAAGAGTCGGCCTACATAAGCCTTCGCACCAACAGAGGACATGTTCCACTATCTCTTCTTCTTGCTAACCCTATCTGCATAGGCTTGTTTCTGCCACTTTGATTTTATGCCTCTGGAGTTTGCAGTGTCCAGTTAACAGTCCAACTACTGTTGCAGTTCTAACACTTAATTGATTTAGTGTTCTGCCGGTAATTTCTGTGATGGTCCTTTGATAAATTTTTTTGCATGCCTCTGCCCTGGGCTACATTCCCATTGAGTGGAGGACTTATTATTAATCCAGTGTTTCATGATCCAAGTTTTGGCAGTTTGGTGTGCCACAAAAGGGTTCAAGACCATGGGTGCCCTAATTGAACTTTCCTTGGCTAATTTATCAGCCTCTTTGTTGCCTGAGTACCCTGTTACCCAGACAATGGTAATTTTATTTTTCCCAATACAGCACTAATGCAATCCCATATGACTAGAATTCACCACTGAAGCAGTAATGGCCCTCAGTGCTGCCTGACTGTCCAAGAAGATGGGTTCTCTCTGTTAATGATACCTAACCTTTTAATCTCCTTGGCATAGTGCTTGGTATGCACAGCCTCTGCTTGAAAGATAGTGACATCTTGCCCAAGGCCTATATGAATTCAAGTCCTTGGTTTATTTTCGTAAATGCCAGCTCCTGACCCACATTCAGTTTGGGAGCCATTTGTACACACGTATGGTTGGCACTAACTAGAATCTCTTTCTACCTGGAATTTTAATTTTAATTTTTTTTTGTCAAATCTGAATGTAGAGGTAAAGCATCAATGGACAGCCCTGTAACCTTGTCTGCTTGAAGCCCCCCCCCAATCTTTAGTTACTCCTTGTTATGCAAGTAGACTAGGGGGGCCTGTCCCAATATTATCCTATGAATTGTGGCTCTGGCTTCTTCCTGGTAAAAATATGTGGTAGTAGTAAATTCTCAGGACTTCCAGGGCAGCAGTGGGGGTTGTTTCAATTGCCCCAGAGATTAGCGTGTCTGAGCAGCAGTGGGTGGGTAGCTTGATCACCCTACTAAATGTCTTGTCCAGCAAACCACTGATCTGTAGGCTATCACGACTATGTGTTGATGAACTTATTGTTTGAAAGCTGCACACCTTTCTCTAACATATTCGGACCTGACTTACGAAAATCACAACAACCCATTACTGAAAATATTGGTCAGATCAAGCCCGAGAATTGATAAACTAGAATGATCAAAAACAACTCAACTGCAAACAAATAAATTAAAATACAATTATATTTTTAGGAGAGGAATCATACAACATTCTGAGCGAACTTGGAAAAGGTGCATATGCTAGAGTGGTAAAGGCCAGATACGGCAATAAAGAATGCGCCTTGAAAGTGGAAAAACCAGCGTGCAAGTGGGAATATTACATAGCAAAAGAATTGCAGAGGCGTATTGTTCCTCAAATGGTATTTTGTTCCTCTTTGTAACTGTATCAAGTTCCTACAAAATTTGATTTCTTTTTATTCAGAGAAATGCTTTTATGATTGTGGATGCAGCTTACGTGTACCAAAATGGCAGTATACTACGTATGAACTGGGCTCCTTATGGAACATTGTTGACTCTTATAACTGAGCACAAACAAAAAATAGTAATAGGTTTATTTTATTTAATATAGCAGTTATATTAAAAATAAATAGTACTTTTTCAGGGGAAAATGTTGGATCTTTTTGTCATAATTCACTTTGCTATTGAAATGATCGATATTGTCGATTCTCTCCATAAAGCCAAAATAATACATGGTGATATAAAACCAGATAATTTCGTCTTGAAACATCTGTAAGTTTTAATGATGCGATATAACGATTTGTGTTAACTTTAAATTATTTTTATTATCAATTGCAGCCCAGTAGAAAATGAAACAGAGTCATGCATTCAGCTAATAGACTTCGGGAGAAGTATCGACATGACTTTGTTTCCAGAAGGCACTCAGTTCAAACATGTTGTTACCACTGATGGTTTCCAATGCAATGAAATGAAAGAAAACAAACCTTGGACTTATCAGGTAATTTAAATGTATATATAGTGATGAGAGAATATAACCAATATATTTTAATTTCAGACTGATCTTTATGGCCTTGCTGGCTCTTTGCATTGTCTTTTGGTTGGTAATTATATGAAAGTAGTCAAGAAAAATAATGAATGGAAATTAATGCAACTTCTCCCAAGGTAAAAATAACAATAATAATCAAGTTCCTACAAAATTTTTCTTTTTATTCAGAGAAATGCTTTTATGATTATATAGTTATTAGACGAACTAATATATAAAAAAAGAAATAAAAAAACTGTTTCTATGTCAATTATTATTACAGAAACGTTAGGCGGGAGTTGTGGGATCCCATTTTCCACAAGCTGCTCAATACAAATTCTAGCAATTGTCTTCCCAATTTGGAAGAGATGAAACACAGACTACACCAAGAATTGAACGGTTATGGTGACAACTTTGTATTTTCTACAAATCTCAAGCAGCTTCATAACTTAATGAATGGTTCTTGAAAGTACCGCTTTCCCCTCTACTAAACCCGTCAGAGAAATTGTAAATTAATCTTCTGTGCATGGAGTGGGGTGGGGTGAATAACTTAATTTAAAATGTATTTGGAACACAGTATCTTGTGTTTTATATGAGCTTGTAAAATAATGATTATGTAAATATCTTTTTATAATATATATCTTCTTTACTTCATGTTTGTGTATGACATTTACAATTAACATTGATCCTTTCATTTCATTTTGTACAAATTTCATTTATAAGTAATCTCTTGGGAGTGTTGGTAGCTCCAATGGTTAAGGCTTAGATATGAAACTCTTTATTGTTATAGGTTCCAGGTTCGAATCCAGTGGCCCTGAATTCAAACCAACATTCAATGGACTTTTTTCAAAAATTCTCATCCTTTCATACAGTTTTTGTTTTGTACAGAATGCCCATACCAAAGATAATAAATTGGTGGATCTACACAACCCATGGACCCATCAAATTGGTTCAGAGTACTAATTTCAGGAGGAATTAATTAGGAAGAAATCAAAAATGAGATCCCGAGCCCTTACGTTGATTCCCAGGGTGTACTTACGGTGGTTATGAGTTGGTGGTCGATTGCCGAACTACTCGAGTTTTGTATGAGAAAACACCCAACTTAAATTAGACATAGTACCTTTGAGAGAGCTACCACGTCACCATTACTTTGGCCAATAGGGCGAATGGTTCAGATACATCTGGGTAAGGAGGTTTGAGTGGTGAAAATTAGAATACGAACGGGTGAATCTGTCAACCAATTTCGTGCTTCATATTATTATTTCGGAATAAAAAATAAATTTTAACAAACTTAAAATTTGGTGGGCGGTATGTTTGAGCTCAACTAATTTTTATGCACGTAAATCCCCCTCCTTATTTTATTTCCTTTTTATTTTTCTAATTTGGTTACCTGAGATAGGTAAAAAGTTTTTTTTTATATTTAATTGTTATCATGTTACAATTGATTATCGTTAGTCTTAGAAAGGAACAGGTAAATACATGAACATTTGTTCATAAGACCAGAACTACAAATCCGTATTATAAACACACTCTCCTGCCCTCCTACCGTCTGTTATCACGATTCAACAACATCATTATCGTTTCATTCGTCGACAAAGAGACACCGCTCACTTAAATATGTCCTATAGATTATTGTCGTCCTTCATCAGTCGGCCACCTCCACAGACAACAGCGATTAGTGATCCTTTGTTCTCAAAAACCTTAGCTCTACACAATCGAATTTGCACTTCCTTTTGTGCATCGCCCACGAGACTTGTTCGTTTTTCGTCGGAGTTTTCAATCCTTCCATGAACCACTATCTACCCATCGTCATCATTATATTCGTTCTTCTTCTATCATCTTCACCAGACACCATCATCTTATCGTTATAATTATCTTCATTTTTCATCCACATCTTCACTAGTCTCCATCACATCGTTCTTCACCATCCATATCCACACACGAGAAACACCGAAAACCGTCTGTTCACGAATACAGCGAAAATAGGCGGACTGAGGATGTCGTTTGATGTACGATTTTCTGCTTTATTTTAAATTTTTTTTCCGTTTTTATAGCTTGATGTAAAAGTTACGTTGCATTTCTAGGAAGAACAGTCGCTAAGGCATTTGACGGATAAATAGTTAATTTCTCGTCTATCTGAGGCTGTACTTCGGAATAGGAAAAAATGTTTCAAATGCAGAAGTGATGGTTCTTCAACAACTGCAAAATGGAGAAACACCAAAACGCGACTGTTAACGAATACAGCGAAGTTTTTATAGCTTGTTGTAAAAGTGCAACATAACTTTTACATCAAGCTGTAAAAACGAAAAAAAAAAAAAAAAAGCAATTCGAGGTGATGGATTATTTCTCGTCTAGCTGTGACTGTTCTTCGGAATAGGAAAATATGTTTCAAATGAAGTGATGTTTCTTCAACAACTGAAAATGGAGAAACATCGGAACGCATCTGTTCACGAATATAGCGCGTTTTTACAGCTTGTTGTAATAGTTATGTTGCATTTGTAGGAAGAGCAGTCGCTAAGGCCTGAGGCTGTACTTCGTAATAGGAAAATATGTTTCCAATACAGAAAGGATGTTTCTTCAACAACTACAAAATGGAGAAACACCAAAATGCATTTTTCCCTTATACAGCGACATTTAAAAGTTATGTTATTAACTTGACGTTATGTTATTTGACTGGTCTATCTGCATTTTGGAACAGGAAAATAAATTTGAAATACAGAAACTGTGCTTCTTCGGCATTTGAAAAATGAAACACCAAAACGAATACAGCAAAAAAGGCGGACCACAATGCTGGGGGTTGATCCATGTGCGTCATTGTGCTTTAATATAAAATTTTCTTTTTCTTTGATGTCTCGACCATTTGTTAAAAATTCGATTAACCAAAACCCAATAGAAAAAAAGAGAATCGGTAGAAACAGATATTCGGTCGGTTTATTTTCAAAGGGAGCCAGTTGATGTGGGGATGGTGGATCGTGTTTTGAAAGAGGGAGTCGGGAGGCGGATCGGTCGAATTCGGCCGGCCTCGTCTCGCTCCGTTGCCGCGAACCGCCGAGGAATTCTGTCGGCAGACGACTCAGTTCACTAGTGACTGCTTTTGGTGTTTGCGCGCCTCGGGCTTTCAGCTGCTCCAGTTGACTCTGTGCGCGGCGTCTCGGACCGGCGTACAGTGTCTTGTTTTTGACGTTCTGTGCATGTGCTCTCATTCGGACAGGACAGGAGGACCACACGGATTCCCAAGTGACATAAGACCGTAAGGGATTTTTCTTTTTTTTTTTACTTCCCGTTTTCTTCTTCGGTGGATATTTTCTCCCGGCCCCTGTCAAAAAGACAAGAATCCCTTTGGGGTGTGGATTTTTTTTTCGACTTGGCCGGCGATGGGGTATTTTGGCCTAAGACGGTGAAGGCCGGTGCCCTTGCTCTCGCGTGCTCCCCCCTGTGTGTGGGGGCCGAGACTTTATTGATTTTACTCCCGGATCGTGCGTACTCGTTACTTGGGGGCCCTTTTCCGTCGGGGGTGACGCCTCATGCCCTCCTGTCTCTCAATGGGGCCTCACTCCCACCGCCCCCGCACCACCCGCTGGAAAATGCGATTTTATAGATGACATCTAAATTTTGTGAGAAAAAAGACAATTTTAGCGCCCTCATATGCTATCTTTCCATTCAATGAGTTTCGTTATCTGACTTGTTATGTCAAAGTTGATTTGACTCATTTGCATTAACAGCCACCCTCTCATTTTACACCCTAAGGGTAACAATAATTGTAGCAGTTTTCAAACTAACCGCCCTACATGGAACATGCAGTCGAAATTGCTGTTCACCTGCTGACATCTCTTCCCCAAAAAATGTATAATTTCTTAAATACCATATTTATAATCATTCCTAACAAATTTTGTTGCAGTTTTCAAATTGCCCGCACAACATGGAACATGCATTCGAAATGCTGTTTACCTGCTGACATCTCTTACCATAAAAAATTTATAATATTTTAAATACTATATTTACAATCATTCACCAAAAAATTAAACAGTCTGACACAATTCTCTCTTTAATTTTATAAATTATTGTCAGCATCCTACATGGCACAAAACGCAGATTGTCATGGGACTTAATGGAAAATCCAGTGGGTGTAGTCCCAGGGGTCAAACATTTTAGCGTTAGAACTTCGTTTAACGAGGAAAACTTTGCAATTGATGCGATGCAACTAACTATTGTATCACGAGTAGGCTTTAAAAATTTACATTCATTTTGTCATTTAGGATTGACCATAATAAGCTTTTGATAACACTGTAGCACAATCTTTTTACATATTTCAACGTTATACAACCATTGGTAGTTTCCATTGGATAATAATGAAGACTTTTCTTGTTCACTTTTATAATAGCAATGAGTGTTTTATTAAGAAAAAGGACCATCTTCGGTGAACATTTCCCCCTATCCGTATTGAACGCACCAGCCCAGAGACCGTAATATCGAAGCGAGAGGAAATAAAATCCAATTTGTTAGAATTATCAATTAAACCAAAACCGTTACTATAAATGCGGACTTATCAATGTTTCATAGACATTATTAACTGTAAGAAAACATAGAGAAAGTAAGCGGAAGCAGAATATGGTCAACACTTATCATCTTATCAATGGACGATTTAACGCCATGTAATATATTAGTGACTAGTAATCAATAAACCCCAAATTTTGTAATAACCCTTTTTATTATAAGGTCTGTATAGAAAGTCTATACAATTTACTAATTGCAATTAAGTAAGTTTTGATTTCGACAGTTCATCGAATGTGAAAAATCCTAGATTTCCGCTTACCGAGGAAGAATCGTTATGATCACCTTCGGCAATCGATGTTTAATAAAATGTAGAAGCAATTTAGTAAATACTCTATTGCTGACGTTTCTAAATTTCGATGTGAAATTACCGAGCAACCGAAGGCTCTCGTTGAAATGAAACGATCCGCCTTTTTGGTCAATTTACCAAGTCGGCCTACGTGGTCCGGCGGATCAATTGTTACAGTAAAAAGTGTGTAATACAATACAATAAGCCCAGTACAACCGAAGCCTAATGCGTTAAACGAGCTTTTAAACAACATATTAGACGTGAAAATAAACATAGTTAAAATCAGACTAAGAAAAGCTTTCAAATTGCACTTAAGATTTGAACAATATTTGAATTGTTGACTGATAACAGTGTTTAAAGTTTTTTAAATTTTTTTTATAAACTATCAAATGAATTTTGATTATCATTGATTTTAAGCTTCGAAATTTCTTAATCGATTTTCTGATGAGTTTACATTCCGAGGTACGTCTTTATTTTAACTAGGAAAACATCTGGCTCCAGTAAACCCGCTCAACATATCAGTTTTTTTTTCTTTCCGACATATAACCAAGGGTAGAAATCAGATACGATTAAGTAAACAAACTATGTTGAGGAGAAAAAAATTCTGCCTCGCGTAACTGTTTTATTATTATTTTTTTTAATCGTCGCAAGCGTCGGCTTAACTTTGTTACTTGTATTTACGTACTTTCGTGTTTTCTGTTTATAACTTCTTTTGTACGATATATTTTTCACGAGGCCGACTGAAGCGCGGATTACAAAGAGACGCCAAAGGTCGTAATGGACAATAGACGAGGTGACTGAGCAGAGACCGCCAAAGGAAGATTTTTTGTTTGTTTTTATTGTGAATTAACCGATGTCAAATTAATACAGGATTCAAATTGATTTTTTAGGGATGGTTAGGATTGATTTTTTACAACTGAAAAAAATAGTTGTTCCTTCTTTCAGAAGATCAGAAGAAGTCTCACTAAAAACAGTGGTAAAATAAGAAAACAAAATATAATAATCAGATGTTAAACGGCCAGAGCGTTATTAAAAAAAGGAAGAAATATATAAGAATAATTGCAATCAACAAGAGACAGAATGTACAAAAATAATTATAAAAGAGAGAGAGAAAACTTACGTTAATATTATCTTTGACGTGAATGATGTCGATTGTAGACAAATATACTTTCTTTCTCTTTGTCTTTCTACTTAATTTATTTAATTGTATTTTGAAATAGATTATTAGCAGTTATGCAAATGGGCGAATAATTATTTAAAACTTCAAATTAGTAAAGGAAGTGAAAATTTGAAATTATGCTTCATGAAAATCTTTGCTTCCATATTTTATTCTTAAGCTTAGCGCAACTATTAATGTTAATGACAAAGAACATAAATACCACTAAACATAATCGAGTCGGGAAACTGTCTATTGATAGCACTCGTTTTAACTTGATTATTAATTTTTTTTTTACTTTAAATTTACTTTTAAACTTTTATTCGCTCTTTGACAGGAGGTCGCGGGACCTTTGGCTTTTGAGTGTACTAGGAATATTATTCGGAAAAACAGTTAGGAAAGTTCCAGGATATGTACATCGAAGTATGATTGAAAATTTTGTTGTAATTGTTTATAACTAGGTCTTTAATAAAATGATTTCTTTAATTGTGTATAGTGCTACTGGAAACATAAAATGGCGCGTTTATAATAGATCTTAGTAACGGTGGTTGTTGTTGGGTACCCGGCCATATAGGTTTGGAGAGTAACTAAGAGAGAGGAAGCGGAGTAGGCCGGGAGTCCCTACGTCCGGATTTAACCACGGCGATCCCTCTGACGCTAAAAATGCAACATGGCTGTATGGGCTGGATTGGTAGAGAAGCTCTCAAGAGCACTGTCGATAGACGGCCCTCGGAGGATGTCATCCTCACCAGGATAGGCCTTCTGAGATTGACAACGGTCTCTTACTTTTAGGCCAGTATCCCGTATGCGACAAATTTCGTCAGGTGCTTCTACACCTAAAATACAACAAAAAAGTTATATGAACCATGGTCCGATTCTCAACCCTTTTGGAGATAGTCAACATTTTGTTTTTTTCAACTATTTAGTGTTTTCCTCATAAATCGTAGCTCTTGAAGTATTAATATTTTTGGTGAAATTCAAAACAAAAGTATCGAAAAGAGAGTTAAATTTCCTTTAAAAAAAACACCCTTTTAGAACTTCCAATTTAATTTTTGGTAAAAAAACAAACACTAAATCTTTCGAAACTGTTAATTTTAAAATTTGTAAAAATAATAAAACAAATCTGAATATCATTAGAAAAATTCTCGGTAAAGCTTGACAAATTTCCTACCTTCTCGTTTAATAAGTTTTCTTTAATTACATACAACCAAAATGCAGACATTTTATGCTAAATTGGAAAAAAGTGTTGACGGTGTGAAAAGGGGGAATGGATTTAATATAGTAATTCAACTTTTTGTTCTGGATAAATAAAACAATTCAAAAAGAAAAAAAAATACAAAACACATAAAAAAAAGAGGCAATATACATTACGAACAACCAAAGCAGAAAAATTGGACAAAATATCTGCACTAAACATACGCAAAAGATAAAAAGAACAACAATGCAGAAGTTGTAATTTGTGTCAGAATAAAAAGCGGAATAACGACGGGCTCAGGGCGCCACCTTGTGGAGCTCCTGCATTGCGTCCATTCGAAAAAAATGTATAAGATAATTACCAAATAGTTCTGAAATTTTTTAAATTATTAATATGTTTATAATGTATCTAGGAAGAACACAAATCTTACCATTCGTTTAAAATTTCGACTTAATTGGTTGCATTGTTCCTAAGAGCAAACAATTTAAACAGATTAGATTGTTTCGCAAAAAATGTTCAAAACAAATGTTATTGCAAAAATCTCTCTACAATCAACAGATACAGGTCAAATTGTATTATATACAATTCCTGCCTCGGGCTTCTAGAGCTTAATTGGCCAATTTATGGAAGGCGGAAACCACAGTTTGACCCCATAACGATTCTGGGACGTTTAAATTGGCATATATTCGGTTTCGCTTTTCCATCGTTACATCCGACTATGATGTTTCTGAAAGTGAAACCGATAAACAGACTTTGTGCTGCAATGTCTTTTCATAACTGCACTGTTTCAAGTGCTCATAATGAGGAATGTTGAACAAATCTGTATGATAAATAAGCTGGAAAAAATCTAAATGCTGATATTTCCAAAAGGTCCTAAATTTCTATAAGATTGTTGTTCTTTTAGGGCAATACTCTAAATTATAATTTAAAATATTATAACACTCTAATTCATAATATATCAACATTTGAAAAATATGGTTTTGTAAAAAAAATTAATATTGTACACTTAATCTGTTGTTATAGTGTAATGATGAAATAATGAAATCTTCAAATGAAAAT